ATTCTCCTAACAAAACTTTTTATTTCATAAACATTTATAAAATGTTAAAATACAAGTTCTAACCAAGGTAGCACATTAAGGGTCATTTATCCAGAAATACAAGCAGGGCCTCTAAGGAGACCCTTCCCATTGGAATGGCAGTGCCTCTATTCCTTGCAGGTATGCTTCTTCACAGTGGCACCTCACTCTTTGAGCTCTGTATCTCCAGGTCACTAGAATGTTTGGGGTCTAAGCAGGCACTCCTTGATGCTCTTAGAGAGATGGAAAGGGGGAAAAATGAATGAATGACTTGGGTATAAATGGTTTAGATCATCTTAATTCTTATGGGAAAGAGTAGGAGGGAAATGGATACTCGAGGGAATTAATTGACCATGAAAGAGTAAAAAAGTTCTAGAATAAATAACTAGGTTATAAAAGAAAAGACAAGTGTTGTGATTTCATACTTTTGCTTTGCATTAGCTAACTGCTAGTGGTTGGAGAATTTTGCATGAATATTCATGATTTCAGAAGATTGTGTGTGTGTGTGTGTGTGTGTGTGTGTGTGTGTGTGTGAGAGAGAGAGAGAGAGAGATTATAAAGAGTGTATTCATTGAGGTATTGTTCTAATTCATTAATCTCACCTGGGCAAGAATTGTGGTGAAATACTCATTTGTTTTGTTCTGTCCTTTCAGAGCAGTAGGTCAAGGTGAAGGTGTCTACTAAGTACCTTTGATTGACATTCAGCAATTCCCATGTAGTCTTTTTTTTTTTTTTTTTTTTTTTTTTTTTTTTTTTAGTATCTTTATCTTACATTTATGTGGTGCTGAGGTGCTGAGGATCAAACCCAATGCCTCATGCATGCTAGGCGAGCACTCTACCACTAAGCCACAACCCCAGCCCCGCCATGTAGTCTTATACAATCAAAGCATAAAATTTTGATACTCTTTGCTTAATACTAAAATTTGCCATGTAGTGTGTTCTAATTCTTATCAGTTTTAGATGCATATCTGCACATGGGTATTATTACATCATTACCATCATCAGCAAATCCTTCTATTTTCTTATGAGTTTTACTCATTAACAGCTCCCATTCTATATTCCCAATTTGGTAAAAGAGACTGATTGTGTAAAAGTTTTCCCTGAAAATCCAAGAAATGAGCTCACTATACTGTTCTTATTTTGAGGGAGCCCCAGTCCTCTGGCCTCCAGGATGCCATGTCACATTGGAAAGCAGAGTTTTTCCCCTTATCTTTTAGCTGCCTTGTTCATTCTCATGCTGGCAGAAAGTCACTGAGCACTGGGCTGGCGGGGACACATGTTCTGCAGAGCACCATTCTCTCCCCGGGCCTGTGTAAATGATACTTACATCTTGTGATCACAGGCAGCTCATGCTCTGGAGGGCATCTGAGGTCTTTTTTTCTGAGAAAGTCTACAGAGGGAGAGGACAGTGCATAGGATTCTTTGGAAAACCTTCTGTCAAGAATTCCAGCTATAGCTTCCCCTATGTAATAGGAGAATTGCAGAACAGCCAAGAAGAAATAAAATATCTCCTACTCAGAAAATATCAGATATCATGATGGATAAAATTAGACATAATAAAGATGATAATACTTTCTGAATGAATGAATATATTAAGTTAATATTTAATTTAAACATCATTAAAAATCTTGTCATGGTTGTTTAATACTTGAACAACTTCACAGTAAAAAAAAAAAATCCAGATACATAAGCAGACAAAACTTTCTATTTTTTAAAGTATTTGTAGACTCACGTATCTTTTTTTTTTTTAAAGAACTGTGATCAAGAACGTGTGTCATAGTATGGAGATTTTATAAATTAAAGCTATTATTAGAACTTAATTTGTGGCAAATTAGAATTAGTAAAATAAGACAAATAATAGAAGGAATGTCTACTTAGGATTTAGTTCAGACTGATACGGAGAAAAAACTACATCAATATCTCCTTACTATCTATAATATAGTTTTACACTTTTAAAAAATAACCGAAAAGTATTTTTCTTCCCAAAGCAGAAGAAAATAGACTAATATACCTAGGAAGGCAAATAAACCAATATATCTCTAAGAAAGATATATTTACATCAAAACATAAAGATCTGTTCATATTTAAGTAAATAACACTGATTGGGCTGGGGATGTGGCTCAAGCGGTAGCGCACTCGCTGGCATGTGCAAGGCGCTAGGTTCGAACCTCAGCACCACATTAAAAATAAAATAAAGATGTTGTGTCCACCGAAAACTAAAAAAATAAATATTAAAAAATTCTAATAAATAAATAACACTGATAAACCAATATGATAAAACAAATGTCAAAAGGAGAACAACAACCCACGTGAATCAAAGTGTAAAATATGATATATCAAGAACTATGTAATGTTTTGAACAACCAACAATAAAAAATTTAAAAAAAGGAGAACAACAAAATGAAAAATACTGAACACATATTTACTGCCCCAAATATATAAAGAACTATTGTTAATATAGATAAGCACTACTTTCACTCTCTAGCAGTGGTCAATAAAGATTAAAAGTTTACACAAAATTTAACTCCTCTCAAATTAAATTGGATCATATAGAATAGGTACAATTTTATAGTGATTAAAGAGATGCAGATTAGAATTCATAAAATGGAATAAGTAACAAAAAGATGCTTTAAAAAAAAAAGTAAGCCAGTGTTGGAGAAACCAGAGCCCATCTTCATATTTCTTTTCTTTTCTTTTAATACTGGAGATTGAACCTGAGGGGAGCTTTGCCACTGAGCTATATCCCCAGTCCTTTTCATTTTTTACTTTGAGACAGGTTCTCCCTAAGTTGCTGAAGGTCCTGCTGAATTGCCAAGGATGGTCTCAAACTTGAGATCCTCCTGTCTCAGCCTCCCAAGTTGCTGAGATTAAAGGATTTTGCCATTGTAACAGGCATGGTGGGTCCATATTTTTGAAGGGCAATTTGCCAATATGTAGAAGGAGCTACAACACTTTAAAAAATCTTTAGCTTATCCATTCCATTTTGCAAACATATAAGAAGAAAAAACCTTGAAGGAGAAGTTGAAATTTGTGCAAAAGTGATTTTAGCATTATTTTTCACAATAAAAAATAAGAAACATCTGGAAAGCACAACCAAAAGTAAAATGTTCTTTTTTTTAGAGAGAGAGAGAGAGAGAAAGAGAGAGAGAGAATTTTTTTAATTTTTTTTTTTTTTTTTAGTTTTCGGTGGACACAACATCTTTGTATGTGGTGCTGCTGAGGATCGAACCCGGGCTGCACACATGCCAGGTGAGCACGCTACCGCTTGAGCCACATCCCCAGCCCCAAATGTTCAATATTAACAGGATGGAATGTAGAGCACTATTATAACCAAAAATGACTAACATGTGGATTATGTTGATTCATGAAAATCTGCTTACAAAGCTGTGATAAAGAAAGCTGAACTGTTAGGACCTAGGAGATGAGCCATGTTTTACTTTGTTGAATCCACAGGGCCAAACTTAATCGCTGATACACAATCAATGCTCAATAAGTATTTGTTGAGTGGATTTATAAGGGCCTTTTCTGCTTGTCTATCTTTCTGTCTGCTCTGAACTCTGGCAATTTTGCAATCGTACCTCGCCTCCATGAGGCTCACCCTGATTTCCAAACCCTCACTTGCCCTGACCTTGCATGAAAGCATACCCTCCATGGTCCTGGCACCCAACTGTTGACCTCTGCTCTACTGAAGTCTTTAGGCCCAGAGTGACACACAGCTGCAGCTCAATAAACACCTAACATCATGTCTGCATGTATCAGCAAGCTTAACAAATTTTTGTGAAAAAAAAAAAGAATAAACTGTCAAATGTACAAGATAACATTAGTAAACACGGGGAAAAGAACTGAGTAATGAGTTTAGAGATAAAAATTAATTATAATCATTTCAGGAGGAGGAATTGCAGTATTTGAACATCTGAGGGGTTATTTGAGCTGCATTAAGGAATAAAAACAAAAGCAAGCAAACAAAAAAGGTAAGGAAAACCAAAGCCTTCATCAACATACTTTTAAAAAATTAATTGTAAACCATTTTCTGGAACTAGATAGGTCTCTTCAACCATGGCTACTTTATACAAGGAGGTTAATACAGCCAAGGATTCTACCTGCTCTTAAAAGATTGACAGTTCTGACCCTCAAGAAGGCGCCAGCTAATTGAGAATATCCTGCTCAGAATATGGGCTGAGATTCCATTGAGAACTGATGTACACAATAAACCCTTTATGGACTTACAAACGCAGAGTCAGTCTCTCCCCCCCCCCCCCACTCTCTCTCTCTCTCTCACACACACACACACACTTTGCTAAAACAAGCATTCACAGAGTCGCCCTGGCATCCTGTCTTTCCTACCGGGCTGAATGCAAGGCACTTAAATATTTGGTCACAGAATGAATGATTGAACGACTGAATGAAAAGAACTCAGACACAGCAGATTGCCAGATTATATGAAGCAATCACGGCATCAAGTGACTTAGTATTTATTTGGGAAGATTGTAATTTATTTGCCAGAGCGCACAGCTCTGATGAGGCCCAAATCCAGGCATTGACTCTGGTGAGGGCGGCCTTTGCAAAGCAGAAAATAAGTTGAAATCTCTTGGCCCGCAGCGCGTCCCATGGAGCCCCGAGGTTAAAGAAAGCCCTGCTGGAGGCTGCGGGTCCCTTGTCTGAACCCAGGTCGGCCCCAGGCTAAGCCCTCTTGTGCTATAAATATAGCTGCCCACATGCTGCAGTGACATGGTGTTCCCGTTGCTAGCTGGGACAGATAACATGAATTTGCCCTTTAAATGTCCCAACCTGAAGGTACAGCCCCCGGCCCAATCCTGCCTCCCGGAAGCGCCTTCGCCCCCAATGCCCTCTGCATAGGAGGGGGACAAGTAGGGGGGTGTCCAAGCACCTGCTCAGCCAATGCGCAATGCGCGCGCTGGTCCAGGGCCCTCCTCTTCTCGCGAGAGCCCGGTTGGGGGATATAAGCAGGGCTGCGGGCAAAGCGACCGGCCCCTTCGCATCGCGCAGGGACGGAGACGGGGTGGCGGTGCCTGGCGCGGGAGTAAGCGAGAGCGCGAGCGCTAGCGCGACTCCTTGCAGATTGGGTGCGCCCGACTGTCATCATGAGTGATCAGGCACTGAGCTTCCTAAAAGACTTCCTGGCAGGTGGCGTCGCCGCTGCCGTCTCCAAGACCGCGGTGGCCCCCATCGAGAGGGTCAAACTGCTACTGCAGGTAAGGACGGCGAGCTGGCGCGGGCGCGGGTGCAGCGAACTAGGGGCGGGCCGGGCTGGGTGACGGGATGCGGCGCGAGCCGCTGCGACGTGGGGACGCGGGGACGCGAGCACCGCAGAAAATCAGTGCTAGGCCACGGGCCCGGCCTCTGCGAAGAGGAAGGTGCCCTCTGCGTAGAGACAGGTCCGGCGTCAGTAGCAGATTCCTGGTGTCGGGTGGCGCCCAAGGTTCGGGTGTCTATATATGGAAACCCACCCGGAGTCGGTTTGCAGCGAGCCAGATTCTGCGCCTGGGGCAGCAGAGACACTCCACTCAAGGTCTCTCAGACCAGCCTTACCTTTTGATTTTCAACATCCCTTGAACCTTTTTATCTGCGTCCACATCGAATTATTCATGATTACTCAAGAACTTAATGTCTCACGCACTGTGCTATCGACATATTATTTCATTCATCTTCAATCTTTGTAAGATAAAAATTATCCCCCCCCCCATTTTATAGACGAAGAAAAACAGGTTTTTAGAGATTAAGGAATGATTTTCAGAATAAATTCAGAGCACTTTATCCCCGAATTTTTATCTCCCCTACCTGGTTATTGAATGGCTTATAGTCATCGGACCATCTAACCTGTTTTTCTCCATCTGCCCAAAAGGCAAGGGCTTCTCAGTGGGGAATAGTCCAATCTGGGAATCAAAATAAGCAACAACAAAAACCCCGACAAATTACGTGCCACAGCAACAAACCCCCTAATAATTGATTACTTGTATAATCTGCTTGAAAATTTTCAGCCTCTATTTCCTAGAGGGTTTATTCTCCTTCCTGTGAGAGTACTACTCAGATCCTTGTCTCCAGGGAGACCAGTGTGTGGCATTGAAAAATTGTCACCTTCTGCTCACTGTGTCCATTAAGTCTGGAGCCCTTTGTGGGCAGGGATCTTTATTCATTTCTATTTCCCAATAAACCCAGAGGGAAAATGTAATAAATAAATAACTATCTTTGCACAATTAAATCACCTTTTTAGTTTGGGAGTGAACTTTTCCCTCAAATGTTCTGAATAAGTGAAGCAAAATTGAATTTTTTTTCCCTTGGCTTCTTATCCAAGTAACTAACATATTCATCAATGTTTCCCTCATATTTGATTTCCTGATATTTTTTCAAAAGGAAATTGGAATTCTCTCATGCATGCCTCTTGAGGGGGGAAGGAATGGGAAAAAAAGGAGGGGGTTGTCAAGAAAGTGCAAAACTGTCTTTTTCTTCTGTCCTTCCCTTCCCTCTATCTTGCCTGTCCTCTGTCACCCACCCCCATCCTCCCCCCAGGTCCAGCATGCCAGCAAACAGATCAGTGCTGAGAAACAGTACAAAGGGATCATTGATTGCGTGGTGAGAATCCCCAAGGAGCAGGGCTTTCTCTCATTCTGGAGGGGTAACCTGGCCAATGTCATCCGTTACTTCCCCACCCAAGCCCTCAACTTCGCGTTCAAGGACAAGTACAAGCAGATCTTCCTGGGGGGTGTCGATCGGCATAAGCAGTTCTGGCGCTATTTTGCTGGTAACCTGGCTTCTGGTGGGGCAGCTGGGGCCACCTCCCTCTGCTTTGTCTACCCGCTGGACTTTGCTAGGACCAGGTTGGCTGCTGATGTTGGCAAGGGTGCCGACCAGCGTGAGTTCAGTGGCCTGGGCAACTGCCTTACCAAGATCTTCAAATCTGATGGCCTGAAGGGTCTCTATCAAGGCTTCAATGTCTCTGTCCAGGGCATCATTATCTACAGAGCTGCCTACTTCGGAGTCTATGATACTGCCAAGGGTGAGAGAAGGGTATCAGGGAAGGAGGGTGTGCGGAAAGGAAACTTGGGGACCTATAACTCACAAAGGGCTTTATATGTATGGATCCTGTTCTTTTCTAGTGTCTGAGTTAAACTGGTGCTTCTGCATGGGGAGATTTTGTGGTTTGGATGAATTAATAGCTAAAGGATTCTCTATATCCTCTACTGGAATAAACTCTGGGCTTGAGTTATTCAGAGACTTAGCCAAGTTGCCTAACTCCCTTCTGACACAGTTGTATCAGTTACCCAGTTTAACCTCAACATGCAGAACTTTTAACTTCATCATGAAGAACTCTAGCTTCCCAGGATCTATAAAGTGCAACAGTCAACTTCTGTTGGCTTCCCCATTGTATGTGAGATATCTTCACAAAGGGCAGGTTCTTCCAGAACTCCTGGAGTTGGGGGTGCAATAGCCTGTCTTCCCCTACAACTGGTGTTTTGCCGAATTGCAGAGAGGAATCCATTCATGGTGATTTGGCTTCTTGACTCTGCCCATAGGGATGTTGCCTGATCCTAAGAACGTGCACATTATTGTGAGCTGGATGATTGCCCAGACTGTGACAGCCGTCGCCGGGCTGGTGTCCTACCCCTTTGACACTGTTCGTCGTAGGATGATGATGCAGTCTGGCCGGAAAGGGGGTAAGTATGAGCGCTACTGACCTGAATCTTCCTTGCTTTTTACCTGTGGAGGACACTCTTTGATGCTTCCTTTAATTCTCATTATTATAAATTAAATGGTAAAATTATTTGATAAGGACTTAGGGAAGAAAAACTATAATTAATTCCTCCTAACATTCTCAACTACTCCTTTAGGGAAAAGAATTTTTTCTTTTTATTAAAGAGATGATAAGAACATAAAAATGAGATACTCAGAGAACTTAACCAGGTCTCTAGCATTATTAAAGAGACCTTATGCCCTCCTTCCTTAGAGCTTGTTGCAGAAACAAGGAAAAAGAAGTAATTGGTTAGTTTATTGAAAAGGAGATGGTTTCCTTATTTAGTTTTGTGTGGGGAGTTGAGGAATGGATACTGGGGGTGGAACCCAGAGGTACTCTACCACTGATCTACATCCCCAACCCTTTGTATATTTTGAGAACAGGGTCTTGGTAAGTTGCCCAGATGGACCTTAAACTTGTGATCTTAATGCCTTAGTCTTTCTTGTTGCTGGGATCACAGGCATGGTCCACCATACCTGGAAGTTATTATTTCAAGTATTAGTGGGAGAGATAACATTTTAACTGAAGGAGAGGTGGTCTGAAACAATCTTGCTTTCTTTTTTTTTTTTTTTTTCTTTTTGGTGTGGGGGATTGAATTCAGGAGCACTTAACCACTGAGCCATAACACCAATTCCTACCCCTTTTTTTCTTTTATATTTTATTTAGAGACAGGGTCTCATTGAATTTCTTAGGGCCTTGCTAAGATGCTGAGGTTAGCCTTTTTCTTTTGAACTTGTGATCCTCCCAAGCTGCTGAGATTACAAGTGTGCATGCTACCACACCTGGCAAAGCAGTCTTTTTTGTTGTTTGTTTTTGTGGTGCTGGGGATTGAACCCAGGAACTTGTGCATGTGAGGCAGGCACTCTACCAACTGAGCTATATTATCCCCAGCCCAGCAATCTGTTTTGATAGAAAAAGTTTTCACTTCTATAGGTTAAAGTGTATGAAATTGTCATTTCTTAAAAAAAAAAAAAAATAGTAGTTTCATATGGTTCAACCTAATATTTATATCTTTTTATTTTAATTGTATAATTTTAGGCAGTATAATCTATTAGGTCCAGTTTTCTCTCCATAAAAAGGTAACTACACAGCATAATACTCCCACTCCACCCTGCTACCTTCTTGTTCAATAGTGTGTGAATTTTCCTGATTCTTCAATGGCCTAGAGTTAGAGGAGTAGGAATGATAGGAAACCCAGTCTAGCAGTTATATAAGGAAGGAGAATGTCCCATAGGGCTGGGCTTCATGTTCAGGTGACCTCAGTTTTGTAAAACTGGGAATACTTCATGTCAAAATCCTGGCAGAGGAAGTCTCTTCCTTATGGAGCCCTTACCCTTGTTTGTCTCCACAGCTGATATTATGTACACGGGGACAGTTGACTGCTGGAGGAAGATTGCTAAAGATGAAGGAGGCAAGGCTTTCTTCAAAGGTGCCTGGTCCAATGTATTGAGAGGCATGGGTGGTGCTTTTGTATTGGTATTGTATGATGAGATCAAAAAATATGTCTAATGCAATTAGAATTCAAGTTCACTGTGAGCCAGTGAACTTGATTCACAATTTCACAGATCCATTATGTGGTTTAATAGACTATTTCTGGGGAAATAAAAAGATCTGGGATAACACCAGACTGAAAGGAATACCTCAGGAAAAAAAATGCTTCACTAAGTGTTCATTAAACCACAAATGTATTTTGTATTTATTTTACATTTAAATTTCCACAGCAAATAGAAAATAACTTATCATACTTGTATGATTAACTGAACTGATAATGAATAACTGAATGTGAAACATCAATAAAGACCACTTAATGCATGTTCTCTAATTTATTGAACTCTTATTAACAAAAATAAGACCATACATGTGTATGTTCTGGTATGACTCACTTATCAGTGGCCAAGGCTCTCTGTGTCAGATATTATGCTGACTATATATTATATGAGTTCCACAAGCACAGATAATGTTATGCACTATCTTTATCTTTGCTTTAAGAGTTGCTGTAGGTTTAAATTGGCTTCCATAGGACCACCTTATTTTATGCACTTTCATGCAGGCTTTAGGAATTCTGAGATTTTGATAAATAGCTTTGTATCAAAGTTTTAAGAATTTTGTTTGAAAGTGCATTTTAATCCCTTTAGAGAATTATGTAACTCAAATTTAATGACAAGTAGACTGTACTCATTGAAAACAATTTGAGCTGGTATAACCAAGTACCACACACTGGATGGCTTATAAACAGAAACTTATTTCTCACAATTTTGAAGGTCAGAAGCTTAAGATCAGTCTGCTTGGGTTCTGGTGAGGGCCTTCTTTTGACTTCTGCTATCTTCATGGAGGAAAGAAAGCAAGAGAGTTGATGGGTTCCCTTGTTTAAGGGCACCAATTCCATTGATGAGGACTCTACCCTTTTGATCTAATCACCTCCCAAAGGCATCAGCTCCTAATACCATCACCTAGGGGTTTAGGATTTTCAACACATGAATGTAGTGGGGGATGGGCCTTGCACAACCATTCAGTCCATAAAATCAGTTATGGGGAAGAGACAAAAGTCAGGAACCTGCCCTGAAAGAAGCTCAAGTGGGGAAAGAGTAGCATGACCTTGTTAAATAATGTAATAGTTGATACAATAAATCTTGGTTGAGAAGAAATAGAATGGGATGAGTTACATGGGGTGGGGAAGGAGAGGAGAGGGGCCTTCAATAACTAGATTTAGGTACATGGGAATAGAAAGTATCTGATAGTGTTCTTTTTTTTGTAACAGTTTATCAAGACCTAGAGGAAAAGTCTGTTTGGATTTGATTCTAGCATTTGTGAGCAAGAGAAAAATAAAATTTCAAGTGGGGAATGAAGTACTTTTGAACCAAGAAAAGACCAGTTAATACAATACTAGTTTGTGACTGATCTGAAGGAAATGAGTCCCTATGTCCTAGGCAGATTTTTTTTTTGGGGGGGGGGTAGGATTTAAGCCTCTCTACCTACTCACCCCTGTCTCCCAGTAGAAAATAGGCTGTCTTGCTTTTTCTTTTTTTTCCCCTGGTTGTTTTTTTTTTTTTTTTTTTTTTTTTTGGTACCAAGGATTGAACTCAGGGACACTTGACCACTGAGTCACATTCCCAGCCCTTTTTTGTATTTTATTTAGAGACAGGGCCTTGCTAAGTTGCTGAGGCTGTCTTTGAATTTGTGATCCTCCTGCTTCAGTCTCCTGAACCTCTGGAGTTACAGGCATGTGCCATACTGCTCCTGGCTTGCCTTGCTTTTAAAATCAGAGTAATTCAGGTTTGGGTTTTACCGTATCCAAAGATAAGCCTAATCTCATCTAGTAGATAACTAGATGGATGGAAAAAGCTAAAATGTAGGAATAAAAGAAGGTATCTCTCTCTCCAGTGTCCTCAAGTCCAGGCAACAAGTCTGTGCTGTTAGAGGCAGTTCGGTTGCAGTCTTTTCCCCTTAGGATGTTATGAATGATTCATATTCTGTTGATAGAGATAGTAGGGCAAGCTAGTGGGGCCAGTGCTTTGGTGAAGCGTATCTAAAAGTAGGGCCAGCTCTTTCAATATTTTTTTGGAGGGTGGGTACTGGGGATTGAAGTCAGGGGCACTTTGCCACTGAGACACATCCCCAGCCCTAATTTGTATTTTATTTAGAGACAGGGTCTCACTGAGTTGCTTAGCATCTTGCTTTTTTTGCTGAGGCTGGCTTTAATTCACAATCCTCGTCTCAGCCTCCCAAGGCACTGGGATTACAGGCATGCGCCATCATACCGGGCCCTTTCAGTATTTTTTAAACCTAAGGTTTAAGGTGAAGGGAAGCTATGAAATGATTGGGAACTGACAGCAATGAATAAACCAGTGGTTTCTCTCAGCCAAACTGAGGACCAAATTGTTTTCTGATCTTTGACTCCTCCTTTGGCATGTAACAGGGAGAAGAGGAATTGACAGGTATTAAATAGTGCCCATTATCTACACTACATGTGACCCAAATGTTGGCCTTCCTCCTTTCTGCTAAGGTTACCTCTGCTGCACTTTGTCTCAGGCCTCTTGCTAAGTTCATTCCCTACAGCAACTTCATTTACCAGGAATTCCTAGAACTCTGGGCCTCTGATGGACAGGCAGCAAGCACTTCACTTTACTGTCCCATCCTATCACCATACCATCCCCGTACAAACTGTCATGCTTGGAGGTCTGGAAAGATGAAAGGGGTTTATGTTAAAGTGACAAGTTGGAATCTAGTGATAGACTCTTAGGTACCCCACGCCATCCCCTGGGTGTTCTCATGAACCCCTTTCCCCACATGGCTCTCCCTACATGCAGCCCTCCTCATTCCTCATCATCATTTGTGCATTTTCTCTCCTAACACCTCACCTATAGGTGTTATCTTTTTAGCCACCTTATATTTTAAATGCATAAGAAAAATTATGGAGCATTATATAAGAGTGAATCTAAATGGACATTTTGGAAAAAATAAAAAACTTGCCTCAATAATTTGTGCTGAAATTTCGATTGTGTCAGACTGCTTCCATTCTGTTTTACTTTGTAAACTACATTGTGTAACTTGTGTTGAGGCAATATTTACTAAGCACCCACAATGTGCAATACTAGGAGGGGAAGCTCCATGAGGGCAGCTTCTCTCCTTCATAGCCACATGCCTAGAACAGCACGTGAGGCACAGATATTTAATAAGTATTTGCTGAATGCAAGAATGGATGAGAAGGAAAAGTGCCATCTACAAAGCACAGAGAATAGGCTAGCCCCCCAGTGCAATCTTGAACTTTCAGAGAACCAGGGGTGCTAGATAAGCTTATTGGGGTCAAGTAATGGATAAAAATTTATGGCTACCTTAAGTTCAAATTTCAAGTCCTTACATAAAATTGTATAAATTGCATACCATTAATTTCTCTTTGTTTTCTGGTCCTCCTTGAATATCAGGTTTTAGCAACCCATGATAATGTATAGTTGATTCTATAGTTGATTTTTTTTTTGTTGTTGTTGTTATTGGGATTGAACCCATGGGTGGCTAACCTCTGAACCATATCCCCAGCCCTTTTAAAATATTTTTTTTTTGAGACGGGATCTCACTAAGCCTCACTACATTGCTGAGGCTGGCTTTGAACTTAAAATGCTCCTGCCTCAGCCTCCTGAGCCACTGTGCTTACAGACAAGCCTGTGCATGCACAACTGCACCCAGCTGATTCTCACTGTTCACAGATTACACATTTGCAAATTGGCCTTACTGCTAAAATTTGGAACCTTTTTGACATTCTCAGACATGCACAGAGCTACAAAATCTTGAGTTGCTGGATACACACATTCCCAGCTAAAGGGGAACAAGGCAATGCTCTGCCTTTTTGTTTCAATTCTCATAAACAAGAGCCCTTTCCACAGTCCCTTTATTAAGTGCTTCAGCTTTTGCATTGTTATGCTCTTGCTGGTCATTTTGATGCTTAAAATGGCTCCCATACTGCTAAAGGGCTGTCTAGGGTTCCTATGCACAAGAAGGCTTATAGAGATTTCCTTATAGAGAAAATTTATGTGCTAAATAAGCTTCCTTCAGGTATGAATTATATACTACTACTGGCTGTGAGTTAAGTGTTAATAAATCAATAATATATACTCACAAATAGAGTGTATATTAACACATAAAACAAGGTTTGGTGTTCAGAGGCTCATGGCACTGAGGAGTAACTAGACAGAAAATTATGAGACCAAGCTGTGCACTGTGCACACACCTGTACTCCCAGCTGCTTGAAGGCTTAGGCAGAATAGCGAATTCAAGGCCAGCCTGGGCAGCTTAGACTCTTATCTCAAAATAAAAATGGCTGGAATGTAAGTTCAGTGATAGAGCACCCCCCTTGGGTTACATCCCTAGTACAGTGGCAAGAACAAAATAAAAACATGGGCCAACAAGGTGTCACCTCCCAGGAGTCTCGGCTATAGACTCAGCTATGGTCAGAGCCTTTATAATCCAATCATTGCCTACAAGCCTCACCTCTGTATACATGAGATGTTGAGTGACATTCTAGGTCAAAATTGTAACAGTAACTATAGGTAGCAATAATGTACTATACATTTCAAAATATAAAAAAAAGATTTAGTGTTCTCAACATAAATGATGTTTGAGTACATAGACGTGTTTAATCTGATATATTACTCAACATGTACATGACATCACATGGTACTCCATTAATATGTACAATTCTTAAATTTTAAAAATATAATTATATATTAATATATAATTATACTATTATAATTTTATAGTATAATTAACAATATATATTTTCTTAATTCTAGATATTTTCTACATGAAATAGATTCCCATAATGAAATAAAGAAAAAAAATCCCAAAGTTCATCAGTTATAATCCCAAAATTTATTAAATAAACATATTTTTGTGATTATCCTTATATTAATTCTTCAAAAAGGTAGGATCATGATTTTTAATTTTTTGGTAACTAAGTATTTTATTATTTTATTAGAGTGGATAGGAATAAATATTCATATATTCAAAAAAAGTACTTGTCTTGTTAAATTATAGTACACTAATGACACATTATCTCCTAAATTTTATTTTGTAAACCAGTAAAACTCAAAAGCATCATCTCAAATAAACAGTGCAATAACCTGAACACATCAGATTTTGAAATAGAATCACAGAACATTAAGAATCTGTAATGTTAGACCCCAATATAATAATACTGGGTGATTTTAACAAAACTTTTACCACCAATAGGCCAACAAAGCATAAAATCAATGAAGATATATCCAGCCTAAATAACATCATATCAAATAGATCTAATTGATACCTACAGAATCTTTTACCCCAAAATAGCTGAATTTACCTTCTTCTCAGCAGCTCATGGAAACTTTCCCAAACAGACCAAATTCTAGGTCACAATGTAAGTCTTAGCAAATAGAGAGAGAAAAAAAGTCAATATAATAGAAACCACATAAAACACATGGAGATTGAACAATATTCTTTTAAATAAAAAAGGGATCAAAAAATAAATGAGAGAAAAAAATCAAGAAATTCTTAGAGACAAATGAGAGCAAAGAAATAACATACCATAATCTCTGGGCAGTATGAAAGTATTAAGTGGAAAATTTATAGCATTGAGTGCCTACATTAAAAAAAAATAGATCCCAAACAAATAAGCTTATGCTCTACCTTAAGGACTTAGGAAAAAACACATTAACTCCCAAATCAGTAGAAGATAGGAAATAATAAAGATCAGAGCCAAAATTAATAAAATTGAGAAAAAATACATAGGATTAACACAACAAATAGTTGGTTCTTCGAAAATATAAATAAGGTTGATAAACCCTTAATCAAACTAATCAAAAGAAAAAGAAGGTCTAAATCAACAAAATTATAGATAAATAAGAGGATATCACCACAGACACTTCTGAAATTCAGAGGATCTATTTGGAAACTATTTTGAAAATTTATACTCCAATAAGCTAGAAAATCTAGAAGACAATAACAAATTTCTAGATACATATGACCTACCCAAATTGAACAAGGAAAATACAGAAAACGTAAACAGACCAACCTCAAGTAATGAAATTGAAACAGCAATTAAAAGTCTACAGAGAAAACAAACAAACAAACAAAAAAAACCCAGAACCAGATGGATTCTCAGCTGAATTCTACCAGATCTTTAAAAAAGAACTAAAGTCACTCTTTCTCAAATTATCAAAAGGGAGGAAACACTCCCAAATACATTCTATGAAGCCAGTATAACCCTGATACCAAAGGCAGACAAAGACACATCTAAGAAAGAAAACTACAGACCAATAGCTCTGATGAACATAGATGCAAAAATCCTTTAAAAAGTAAAAGCAAACCACATGTAAAAACACATGAAGAAGATAATACACCATGATCTAGTGGGCTTCATCCCAGAAATGGAAGGCTGGTTCAACATACAATCAATAAATATAATTCACCACTTAAATAGAATTAAGAACAAGAATCATATGATCATCTCAGCAGATGCAAAAAAAGGCCTTTGATAAAATGCATTTGATAACGAACATTCATGTTAAAGTGCTGGAGAAACTAGGGATAGAAGGAACTTACCTCAACATTATAAAGGCTATATACAACAAACCCAAAACCAACATCATACTGCATGGAAAAAACTGAAAGCTTTTCCTCTAAAAGACTAGGATGTCCACTCTCACCACTTCTTTTCAATATAGTTCTTGAAACTCTAGCCAGAGTAATCAAGCAAGAGAAGAAAATTAAAAGGATACAAATGGGAAAAGAAGTCAAATTATCCTGTTTGTGGATGACATGAGCCTATATTTAAAAGACCCCAAAAATTCCACCGGAAGACTTCTAGAGCTGGTGAATTAATTCAGCAAAGTATCAGGGTACAAAATCAACACTCATAAATCAATAATTTTCCTACTCCAATAGCAATTCAGTTGAGAAAATCAGAAAAACCATCCCTTCCACAATAACCTCAAAAACAAACAGAGCTGGGGATATAGCTCAGTTGGTAGAGTGCTTGCCTCACATGCACAAGGCTCTGGGTTTAATCCCCGGCAGTACCATCAAAACAAACAAATCCCTGGGAATTAATCTAACTAAGGAGGTAGATCTCTACAATAAAAATTATATAACACTGAAGAAAGAAATTGAAGATCTCCGAAGATGAAAAGACCTCCCATCTTCTTGGATAAGCAGAATTGATATTATCAAAATGGCTATACTACCCAAAACAATATACTGATTCAGTTTAATCCCCATCAAAATATCAATTACATTTTCACAGAACTATAAATGAACAGTCCTCAAATCATTTGAAAGAATGAGACCAGAAAAGCCAAAGAAATTCTGAGCAAGAAGGTATCACAATACCTGATCTCAAAGTATATTACAGAGCTATAGTAACAACAAAAACAACAAAAAACTGGCATCAAAATAGACATGAATAGAAGACAGAGACAAACTCACATACATACAGTCATCTGATATTTAAGAAAGTTGCTAAAAGACAACCTTTTTAAACAAATGGTACTGGGAAAACGGTATATCCCCATGTAGAATAATGAAATTAGATTCCTATCTCTCACCCTGCAGAAAAGTCCAATCAAAATGGATCAAAGACATAGGAATTAGGCCAGAAACCTGCTAGAAGAAAACAGGGTCAACACTCCATTATAGGTGCAGGCACTAACTTCCTCAGCAAGATTCGTAAAGCTCAAGAAATAAAATTAAGTATCAATATATAGATGCCATCAAATTAAAAAGTTTCTGCATAGCAAAGGGAATAAGGGCAAGAAGAGAGAGCCTACAGAATGAGAAAAAAAAAATCTCTGCCAACTGCTCCTCTGACAGAGGATTAATAAACAGAATATATAAAAAACTAAAAAAAAACTTAATGCCAAAACAAACACAATAACAGCAGCAACAATAACAAAATCCCCCAAATAGCCCAGTCAACAAATGGGCAAAAGAACTAAACAAATTTCTCAAAAGATGAAATATAAATGGCCAACAAAATACATGGAAAAATGTTCAATATCTCTAGTAATCAGGGAAATGCAAATCAAAACTATAGTAAATTTCATCTCATTCCAGTCAGAATGGCAATCATCAAGAACACAAATAATAAGTTCTGGCAAGGATGTGGGGGAAAAGGCACACTGATAAATTGTTAGTGAGACTGCAAATTAATACACACATTCTGGAAAGCAGTGTGGAGATTACTCATAAAACTAGGGATAGAAGCACCATATGACCCAGCTATCCTGTTTATCTAAAAGAACTAAAACTAGCATACTAGTAGCCATAGTCACTTCAATGTTTATAGCAGCACAGTTCACAATAGCCAAATTATGGATTCAGCCCAGATGACTGTCAATAGATGAATGGTCAAGAAAATGTGGCATACACAATAGTTTGATTCAGTCACAAAGAAGAATGAAATATTACCATTTGTTGGTAAATGGATAGAAATGGAAAAACTCACGCTAAGTGAGATAAACCAGACTTATAAAAATCAAGGGTGTTATGTTTTCTCTTATATATGAAAGCTAGAGCAAAATAAGGAAAAGAGTGTGGGAGGGGAATTAGATATCATAAAATATATAGGAAAGATTAGTGGAGTAGAAGAGAACAAGAGAGAGGAAGGAAGTATGAAATGAACAAAATCATATTGTATGAATATATAAATGTACCAGAGGGAATTTCACCTCTCTATATATCTAGAAAGTACTAATGAAGGATAAATAAAGGAGTGAAAGGAGATGAGTAGAGGAATGAGAATAGGGGGAGGGAGGAAGGGAGGAGAAGGAGGAGGGGAATGGGGATTGAAATCAAGTTCATTGTACATATAATTTGGTTAAAATTAACCCAATTATGTATAATTTTAATGTTCTAAAAGTCTATCATGTTAGCTCCAGAAATCTTTCTTAAGTGGATTAAAAAACTCACAGAATTTAAAAATGAAATTTTCTGCTATAATACATCCTTTAACTTTGCTCTGAGTATACTTTAACATTGAGACTAATGTACTGGAGAAAGTTACTCAATTATTTATTACAATGGCATTATTCTTATTAAGCACCCATAAAAATCTTCTAAATGGGGAATGAATTAGATAATGTTGCTCAAAGAAATGCTAATCCGTAATGTCATTTTAAGCAAAAATTTCCACGTCATACTTTCAAAAGTATAAATAACTGATACCCTCCTCCCAAATTCATTCTCACCAAGTATTGAAAGGCACATAGAGGTTTTACACTAATTCTAAAGATAGGAATTAGGAAATGCATTTCAGAGGCAGAGATAGGATTAAAACTCAGTTTACTTTTAATTCTTTTATTGCCTTTTTCACTTGTCAAGATAGTTCTTTATGCCTAAAATACATTACGATGAACTAGAAAATTTTAAAAAGATATTGGCTTTTAAGTTTACTTACTAATCTGTATTTATGGAAATATTTAGGTACCATTAAGCACATTTTCTAAAATGATATGCAATCATTTAAGTCCTTGGCATGTAAGATATTAAACTTTCAAAGTATTTAATTATTAAAATATAATAAACTTGCATCTTCAATTTTATATTGGTGTTAATACTTTTCATAGTTGCAATATTTGAATCTGAGGATGAGAAGCAATCAATATCACAGATTATCTGTGCAGATTATATGTTTTGGACACTTGGGTTAATGAGTTAACACACTGAAACAATTGTATAACACAACATTTATAAGCAAACCAGAAAACTTTATTTAGAGTAGAAGACAAAAAAATTAGGTTTTAATGGAGATTGTAAAATGGAAGTAGAAAAGTATGAGATAATAGCTACCCTTAACAAATAATTTTAATAGTTCAAAATCTTTCATAGGATCTCATTTAAAAGGAGGTAACATTAGCTTAATATTTAACAGAGATTGAAAATAATTTGCAATAAGAATCTGGTCTAATAACTAGACTTTGGATTAGTATACTTTCTAGTTATAGATGTTAAGTCTAAATCTTCAAAGTATGTATATCAAGAACAAGTCAACCAAATACAAAAAACAGTGCTTGATCATCTTTTATGTTCTTAAAAATGAAGAGACTAATGTACTTATGATTCTGATTCCTTCATTAAAAATACCCCTTCAGCCCTAAAAACTTGAAAGTCTGGGATATAAATCAGAGAATATCACATTTCCAATTCCTATTCATCTATTCCAATTCATCATATATATGCAACCATGACAACAAAATTATAAATTGTGTTTAAGATTGCTGCTCTTCCCAACTTTTAAGTCAAATCCCTGTTATTAGTAATACTTAAACTTCCTGTTTCAAAGGAATAAAAACTAAAGTGATTAATTTAATATCTAAAATCAAAGAACAGCTTTATCTATGAAACTATGTGTTGTATCCTGACAATTGGGAGCAGAGTCCATATCAGTAAACTCAGCCTAATGTAATTATGAACAGGAAAGGATGTTTGTGTGTTTGTGTGTGTGTGTATATATATGAAATATCAATGAAATCTTGTGAATTTTAAGGACTATACACACACACGTGCGTGCGCGCATGCACATACCATCTTTGGACAAATGTTCAAATGCTGAGTTTTAAATTCAGTATTCTGTCTCCTTAAAGGTAAGTTTTTCTACAAATAGTAAAAGTACAATAAGTTAAAAAACAAACAAAAAAATCCCTTGGTTTAGTACAGCTAAAGCTTATATAGATAGCAGGTGTAAAAAATTGTTCATCTGAACGAAGCATGGAATAATGTTGAAGAACATTGCACACAAAAGAAAGCAGCAAAAACCCTCATATCCAGGTTGTACTCTCATGAATTTTTTAACTCCACTGTTCCCATACTAGGTATACCCTATTCTAAACAAAATCTGTGAATATAAACTAAGGCCAAGAAATTATGAATTGATGGTCAGTAAAATATTATTTGCCTTACTGCTAAAAGTACTAAGAAAATTGTAGCATACATGCTACAGAGCTTGAGCACTGAAAAGTAAAAAAAAAAACAAAACTTACTGTGGCTGAAGAAAATTCATATTAAAAAAAGATTTGTTATTTAATATGAAAACTTTCCTAAACATTCTAAGGCTATACTGAAAAGGCCAGTAATGAAAAACAGTGGTTAACTATAAAATATCATACTTTGTTGTATGAAATAAGAGCTTATAGATTGACAGAAAAATATTCTAATTTCAAATGTCAACTATATTATACCCTCTCTGCAACTAACAATTCTATCAAAGTAACTAGGCTTTTAAGACTGGTAAAAATAATTCTGGGATTCAACCAAATAAGCCAAATCAAACCCAAACAAGAAAATTTGGTAATACTTAAATCAGTAACCTCAACAAATGTACAATTTATTATCCTTCTTATTTACATTTTAGTTTTCTTTTTCATATTCTATAAAGACTAGCTGATATTTCTAAAGCATTCTTATTCTAAATCTTCTCCCTTAATAATACTAAATCATTGCACAATATGCTAACAGTATCACTTAAAACACTCTTCTGACATACCTTGGGAATTGCCTTTTGGCTCTTCAAACTGGCGGTGCTATTTTACTGATCTAACTAATTAATACTTGTTTTAGCTCATGACACAAATGACCTGGTCTGTAAAAAAACTAGTCAGTCACAAGGCAGCAGACTTGTAATTCTAATGTCCACTGCCTTTGTCAGAATCATTAGTAGTACTTTATTTGAATGTATAAAAACATAAAAGAGGAGCTTCTAAGTTGAACTTTCTAATATTCAGTGTAAGAGGGTTTATGGAATGGCTAATCAAACTTTGAAGACAAAACTCAGTGCACTTAATACAGAAGTACTAGGCACCTCTGGTGAATTGTAAGGACTGCCTCAGTACAAGTGTCTCAATCTGCTTGTCAAATCTAAATCAGTTCCATCTATGAAAACAAATTTTAGGATATTTCATAACAAAATGTAACTCTTATACAGTCAGGTTATGACTTATGCCATATAAGTTCTAAAGCAAATTGAAAAATAAGTTAATAAGAGGCAAGCTCATGGCTTAAAGTGTACAAGAAATGAAAATAAAATGAGAACTATATATCGAACATCTTCAGTCCAACATGCAACAATACTATCACTGCTGTTTTATCAGCATGACAACTGAATCACTTTTTATACTGAACATGTAACCCTAGCATTTCTCTATTAAATTCGTATACATTTCATATAATATATACTTAGGGCAAACACTGGTTTTACATTACATTTTCTTTTTGACAACAATTTTGCACTGGAAAACACAAAATAACATAAATTGCTGAAAAAGTATAACAGATATTCATACAAAGAACTATAGTAATACACAAAATCATGTCAAAAATTGGGTGAACAATGTTTAAAGTAAAAAAGAGTTTTTATAACCAAGCAGTGCGGACATTAGGGGGCTTAGGTCTTAGCAACGGGTTGCTGGAAATGTCAAAAGCTGATCGCTCAGTCTTATAACTGAGACCACTGGTAGTACTGGATGTCCTAGAAGCTCCTCCTGAAAATACACAAAGAAAAAATAATTTCAATTTATTTAAACTACATAAATCATCATTTGATAAGCTTCTTCCCCTAGGTTCAGACTAGTTTTCTTCCTTATCTGACATGTGTCTAACACTCTCATCCAGTGATTTTCAACCAAGAGCACACTTCAGGATTCTCTGTGGAACTTGAAAACTGCTCAAGGAATTCAAGTAAAAACAAAAACTCTGCATAACCATTTATACATTTATTTGACAAATATGATACTAACTTAAATACAGGTTACTGGAACATGACATTATCTTAGTCACTGTAGTGAGTAAAGAGAATTACAAATCTTTTTTTTTTTTTTTTTGTACCGGGAATTGAACACAGGGGCGCTAAACTACTAAGACACATCCCCAGACCTTTTTAATATTTTATTTAGAAACAGGGTCTTGCTAAGTTGCTCAGAGACTCACTAAATTGCTGAGGCTAGCTTTGAACTTCTAATCCTCCTGCCTTGGCCTCAGCAGTTGTTAAGACTAGCCATTTGTTTTTATGAATCACATGAGCACTGGGGATTGCAGCACTAAGTGGTTCCAACTTTCTTCAGTACTGGCTTCCTTTTTTTTTAGGAAAAACACTTATTTGAAATTTGCATGGGGCTGGGGATGTGGCTCAAGTGGTAGCGTGCTCGCCTGGCATGCACGGGTCACTGGGTTCGATCCTCAGCACCACATAAAAATAAAATAAAGATGTTGTGTCCACCGAAAACTAAAAAATAAATATTAAAAAATTCTTAAAAAAAAAGAAATATGCATGACAAAGGTTTAATGACCTCAACATAAAAATAGTTACTTTAAATAAATAAGGGAAAAACAACATAACTTAATGGGGAAATGGGACAAAGTCATGAACAGACAATCCTCAAGAGAAGAAATAAATGCTGAATATTAAAAATTAATATAGTTTACAATCATACAGGAAGCAAGAGCACAAACTTTGATAAAGGAAAGTACCTGCCATTTTTAGATGTTGTACTCCAGGGCAGTAAATAGTGACTCCATTCCTATAATCTCTGGGATATACAACTAGCTAGATATGTAACAGATCACATACCAAACATTAAGAGGTATTATATCTGATGACTCTATTGTTAATTTTTGTGTTACTTATACAGTGAGGAGGAAAAGGCATATATAAGGGCTAGAAGATACTGGTAATACTTTATAAATGGCTAGAGGGAATGTTTCAGCAACTTTCCAACAGTATATCTACTCCTTTCTTCCTTTTAATAAAAGTTGAAATTTTGCTGGGCTTGGTGGCTCACAGGCAGAGCCACGTGGAATTCTAGTAGCTCCACACACTGAGACAGGAGGATCCCAAGTTCAAAGCCAGTCTCAGCACCTTAGTGAGATCCTGTCTCAAAAATATAAAGTAAAAAAAAAGGGCAGGGGATATTGCTCAGTGATGACGCAGCCCTGGGTTCAATCCCCAATTCCCAATAAATAAATAAATAAATATTGAAATTACAAATCCCTCCTTCATTCTCTAAGAAACTGATATCTTCAGCTCTTTCTTTAATCTCTTGGTTTCTTTTCTGTGCTGCCATTATGTTCTGTAAATAAAACCTGAAATCAAATGAACACAAATAATCCTCCTGCTTTAGCCTCACCTTAAGACCAGTCATTTGTTTTTAAGAATCACATGAGCACTGGAGAAATTGTGGCACTAAGTAGTTCCAACTTTATTTAGTACTGGCTTCCATTTTTTTTTTTTTTTTGAGGAAAAACACTTATTTGAAATATGCATGACCAAAAAAAACCCAAAACCTAAAGATGCCAGTGAAAATAATAGAATGCATTTCAGAAGTTAGCATTTTAAAATTCTATCATAAGAATATGTAACATTTTTGGGGAGGGCTGGGGATATAGCTCAGTTGGTAGAGTGCTTGTCTTGCATGTACAAGGCCCTGGTTTCAATCCCCAGCACCACAGGAAAAAAAAAAAAGAAAAAAGAAAGACTATGTTATATATATATATTTTTTTTTTTGAAGAAAGAATACAAAAAAGTTTTAAGTATGCTTACTTAATGGGCTGTATTGGCCAAGTGCAGATCTCACTTGTCTAGAAGGTGGTGTAGCGTTGAGATAACCCATATTACGATGATAGTCCATCAGCTGTTCTGAGCGTTTCATACCAACTGTTGGCTTCACAGCTTCAAGCCTTTTCAATAAAGCCTCCATTAAAAACAATTGATTAAAAATTCAATGTTAGAGAAATAGCAGTAGTTTTACAACAGAAAAATCTTTTCTAGAATCTGAAATTTACTAAATAAAGTAGGAAAGACTTGAAGTCATATACTAAAGATCTGCATGAAATTTACTTTGGCAAAAAAGGATTTGCTCTTAAGAAGTCTTAAAAACAATTATTAAAGAATATAAAGCTTTTAAAAAGATATATAAACCAACAGGTTAAGGGAACATAGTATCTATAACATTTTAAAAATATGATTCAGTAACTTTCTTTATAATAATGTTCTTAATTTTATTTATAATTCTTAAATCAAAAAGTAAAGACTTTTTTTCCTTTAAAAAATTTCACAAGCATCATTAGAAAGGATTATGTATGCAGACCAAGTGGCTTGGGAAACTGATCCATGATTCTTATTATTCAAACTTTCTCTGAAGCAAACTAATCTTTATTTGAAGAGTATGCAGATCTGCACTAAGAATCACATTTGAAAAATCATTCTCATGATTTTCAGTTACAGATCAAGTTTTTTTTCTATATAATGTTTTCTTTCTTTCTATTACTGTGCTAAAGTCAGAAAGACTTGGAAAGGTAGAGGAGAAGGGGAAACAGAGGAGGCTGGTTACTAGGTACCAAAATGCAGTTAAATTGGGGAATAAGTTCTACTGTTCTGTAACACAATAGGATGACTTTCATTTGCAACAATTTATTATATATTTTAGCAAAACTAGAGGATAGAAGTCTTGCAAGAAAAAAAATGATAAATTTTTAAGTTGCCAGAAATGCTAATTACCCAGATTTAATTATAACACGTTGTATACCACACTGTACCCCACAAATATGTACAATTATTTACCTGTTCTTCTAGTACTGGCGATTGAACCCACAGTTTTGTGTATGCTAGGCAATTTTCTATCACTAAGCTATACCTGCAACCCTACAAATATATAGTTACTACATACCAATTTAAAAAACAAGAAGACCTGGGCTCATATCCTGGTTCTGTCACTGTGTATCCTTGGTCAAATTACTCAATAGGGATATTAACAACAAAATAACATCAAAGAGTCAGTTTTCATCATCAGTGAGATAACACATTTGAAATAACAGTGCCTGATATCTAGTAAGGACCCATTAAATAGTCATGTTATCATTTATATTGTTTTGTATTATTTTCTAGTTTTTTTGTCATGCATACATGTTAAATTATGTAACAAAGAAATATTTATTTTTCTTATATTCTCTGTAATTTCTTACACAGCTCATGGCAGACAATAAACAAATATTCATTTAATGGATTGAAAAATGCATTCAATTTTCTAACTTATGGTTTACAAAATCTCAGAACTGCCTGTTACAATTTGGACATAGAGTAGATATAAGCCTGCAAAGGCTCATGTGTTTAAAGCCTTGGTCCTCTCCAAAACAATAATAAGTGGGGAATTGGGGAAATGATTGATCATGAAGATTCTAATCTCATTAGTGGATTAATCCCTTGATGGAATCATTTTTTTAAATTTTTTTTTTAGTTGTTGGTAGACATTTATTTTATTTATGTATTTATATGTGGTGGTGAGAATCGAACCCAGTGCCTCACACATGCCAGGCAAGTGTGTTACCACTGAGCCACAGCCCCAGCTCTGATGGAAGCATTTGGATGGTAGCATTTTGATGGTAGCATTTTGATGGCATTATTGGGAGGTGGTGGAAATGTAAGAGGTGGGGCCTAGTTGGAGGAAAATCAATGGGGGTATGCCTTTGGTGACTATGTCTTGTCCCTGGAACCCCTTCCTTTCTCTTTGCTTCTGGGCTACCATAGGATAATTAGCTTTTCTCTGCAACTCCCTTCTACCATAATGATTTCTGCAGCTGTTAGACTTGCTTTATTATTTCTAAAATGGCAAAGATCTTATAAGAACATTAAAAAGGAACAAGTGCCCTATACTTGAAAAATCGAGACAAAGGAGGAGGGTGGATTTTATTTTTCATTTAATGTTTTTGATATTTGAATTTTATAAATTTATAGAAACATTACTTTTATTTTAAAAATAATATTTTAACATAGGAACTCATAAGTAGAAAAATTATAGTTTTTGTCTATTTGTATTTCTCTGAATTTAAAGTTGACAATTACTATTTTACATAAAAGATATAGAAAACATTATATAAACATGTATGTATAAATATATATGAATTTTATGCATCCAAGGAAACAAACAAAAAACTCCATTTGAGTTCTAGGCGCTAATGCCGATTCATTATAAGAATCTTACTTTGTTACTAACCCTGCTTCAATTACTCTCTAACCTCTCCCTTCTTTCATGTAAGAGGAAACTGATTATTTCATTTGAGTGAAATAATCTCACTTTTTACTAGAAAGTAAATGAAATAATAAATTAAGTGTCCTTATTAACCACCTCTCCTTCTGTTAAGATTATTTGTGTGCTCTTTCAGAAAAACAGGATTCATATGTTCAAAAGATAAAGTGACATGATTTAACAAGAATATTTCAAAATTTATGAAATCAAAAATTAGTGACATTTTGGAAATAAAGCTCTTTTTTTGCAGGGGAGGTTACCAGGGATTGAACTGAGGGGCACTTAACTACTCAGTCACATCCCCAGCCTTTTAAAAATATTTTATTTAGAGACAGAGTCTCGCTGAGTTGTTTAGTCTGGTTCTCAACTCACGATCCTCCTGCCTCAGCCTCCCCAGGCATTGGAATTACAAGTGTGTGCCACTGCGCCCAGATAAAGTTTTACTATAACCAAGTTTATATAGAGTAAGCATGCCCTCAACTAGATAAAAATTTCTTTTACCTTAATTGGGTAAGTGTATGTGTGTGCATGTGCACTCCTGTACCTTATGCACATGTTCTATATTGTCTTCATTTTGTTGGGATGCAATGACTAAAGAGAGGAATATAATATCTGCCTAATGAAATAAATACTGAGGATCTGGAACTTCACCAGAAATGCAGATTAACAACAGGATGCATTTTTAACTCTAAAGCACATGACTCCATTGTTGTAGTCAGCTTGTTTACCTCTGTGACCAAATGACCCAAACAATTCTAAAGGAGAAAAAGTTTATTTGGTGCTCATGGTTTCAGAGGTCTCAGTTCACAGACTACTGGCTCCATTGTTCTGGGGCCTAGATGAGGCAGAACATCATGGCGGAAGAGTATGCTGGAGGAAAGCAAATCAGGATATGGCACCAGGAAGCAGAGACAGAGACAGCTCCTCTAACCACAGGAAAAAATATAAACCCTAAAGGCATGCCCTTGGTGACCCACCTCCTTCAGCCACATGGTACCTGCCTATGGTTAGCACCCAGTTAATCCCTATCAGGGGATTCATGCACTAATTAGGTTAAGGCTCTCAACCCTATTATTTCATTTGGAACATTCTTGTCTCACACATGAGCTTTTGGGGGACCTCCTATTCATATCATAACATCCATTTTATGCAATATTGTTAGAGTCTGTAAACAAGTCAAAAATAACACCTGGCATTTTGCCAGGGGAATGTTAGAGTCTGTAAACAAGTCTGGATGGTGCCTGGCAAAATGCCAGAGGGAGTGGTTTGAGAAGTAACAAAAGCCAGCCATTAATTGTGGAGATTCCTGATTGGTTGACTGATGTATCTAGTTTATGCTAATTAGATAAGCTGTGTGGAATGTATAAATACTGCTCCTGTCCTGCAATAAACGGCTCCTACTCCTGCTGTATCAACATACACAAGTTATTCGTCACCCCCCGGTTATTTTGCTGCAGCCAGACAGACTGTGGCACAATATCTTTGCTCTTCTCTACTTTTTCTGCACAGGACTACTTCATTGTCACCAATTATATTCATTTTGTGCTAAAACATGAATGTTTTAATAATCATGCCTGTTAGCCACTTGGATTTGTCTCTACCAGTGGAAATGTAACAAATGAAAAAACAGAAATCATAAAAACTGTAAAGTAATGAATATGTGCTTATGTGTAACACCTGACAGGAGTATCTGGTGTGTGTGTGCACACATATATGTATGTGTGTTCTGAACACAAACCACTTCTTCAACAGATCAAAAAGTATATCAGCTCACACTTAAGAACTATTAAAGCCAACATGGCTCAATTAAAATAAGAATTTTGAAGATGACTAGTTATAAAATAAATACACAAAACACATAGCTTAACAGAAGTAACTAATTATAAAATATAATGAAAAAATTTCATGTGCAATGGCATAAAAATATATAGTAATAAAGAAAACTGCAAAACTTTACTAACATAAGGTTATAAGACGGCTTAGATCAATGGAAAGACTATATTTCAGAAAGAAAGGTATCAAAAGTCCCCAATTAAAATAAAAATCTAACAATTTCAATGAAAATTTACAATAACATTTTTAAATAAAAAGTAATCACCAGGAAGAATAATGCAAAAGAATAGTCAAGAAAAATTTTGCACAAAAATCAAATTGGCTCCATTTTGGTTTAAAGAATGAAAAGTTAAAACAAATCACAAGATTAGTTTTCCTCATAACAACAAAATAAATGCTTGTTTTTAAAAATGTTTTTCATTAGTTGTTGGTAGACCTTCATTCATTTTTATATGATGCAGAGAATCGAACCAGTGCCTCACACATGCTAGGCAAGGAATCTACCACTGAGCCACAACTCCAGCCCCCAAATAAATGTTTGTAAAATAATAAATTATTTTAAATTTATTATTTGTAAAATAATAAATTATGTATGTTTTCCTATTTAGCTTTAAGTTACTTTTTTCATACCTTTATTAGTTTCTGATTCTAGATCTGTTGTGTCCAAAGCTACATGTAACTATACAGTTGAGATATGCTTTAAAAAAACACACAATGTAAAAACTTTGTATCAAAAACCTCCTCATCATTAATATTCTGTATTGATTCCATGTTGAAATGATAATACTGGATGTACTCAGTTAAATAAAATATTATCATTATTTTATTTTATGGATTAAACCCAGGAGTGCCTAATGACTGAGCCATATCCCCAGCCCTTTAAAAAAAGTTTTTTATTAGGGTTTTGCGCTAATTTTATTAGGGCCTCACTAAATTGCTAAGGCTGCCTTTGAACTTGTGATCCTCCTGTTTCAGCCTCCTAAGCCATTGGAATTATGGTGTGCACACTGCACCTGGAAAAGCACATTATTTTAAAAAAATTAACCTGTTTGAATTTTTTCATGTGACTACTAGAACATTTTAAATTACACATATGACTTGCATTATGTTTTTATCGCTCTAGAATATAACAAGATCTTACTATAAAATGGAGGTAAGCATTATTCACATATATAAAGTAGTAAGTATATAAAATAAGTAAGAATAAAATACTGGTAATTTTCCACTGATATTAAAATAGTTGAAATGCACAATGGACTTGGAGGATAATAAAAGCTATAAGCAGAAGCTGCTGATAGTTTCCATAGTGTTCATATTCAGAACAGACAAGACATTAATGGTTTCAACTTTTCACAAGTTAAGTCCAGGTTCCTTAAAAAGCTGAATATAGAATTGTGTCAGGAGCTGCTCTAGAAATACACACCCCTAAGTCCTGAGCAAGAGAACAATTATCACACCCTGCAATAAGTTGGGCTTTACCACCACTTGGAAAATGAGGAGTGGCTCCAAGAGTAGGTGTTATCTAGTGGGGTTGAGTTACACTCACCTGTTTCTTTGTAATCCTACCCCTTGCCTTTTTTCAGATAGAATGTTCTAGGAAATGGCATCCCCCAATAAAAGCCAACTCTGGAACATGCACTCCCTCTCTCTTGTCTATCTCTCCTGATTTTCTCTTGCCCCCCCCCCCCTTGTGGGAGCCTGAAGCCAGAGCTGGGGAAGCCATCCTGAAGTTTATAAAAAGGTATTCCATGTCTGTGTGGTATATTGTGTTACGCCAAATTTATAAGAGTGACTTTGGTTGAAGTTGCCCGCACTAGACGGGGACAGCAGAATTATTGCATATGACCCATCAATTCTACTCTTAGATATATACCCAAAGGAACTTAGAATAGATACTTATATGTTAATTATAGCATTATTCACAATAGCCGTGAAACCATCTAAGTGTCCATCAACAGATGAATGGGTAATCAAAATATGGTATATACCTATGACAGAATATTATTCAGCCATAAAAAGGAATAAAGTTATGATACGTGCTACAACATGGATGGACACTGAAAACATTATACTAAGTAAAATAAACTCAACACAAAGGAATAAATATTGTATGATTCTACTTACTTACATGAAATATTTAAAATTGCTAAATTTATGGGACTGGAGTTGTGGCTCAGTGGTAGAGCACTCGCCAGGCACATGCGGGGCCCTGGGTTTGATCCTCAGCACCACATAAAAATAAACGAAATAGAGGTATTGTGTCCAACTACAGCTAAAAACATAAATATTAAAAATTTCTAAATTTATAGAGACAGAAAGTAGATTAGAGGTTTTCAGAAGATGGGCTGTTTAATATATATGGTGTTTCTATATGGATTAACGGTGAAGGTTTAGAAAGAATGGTGATGGCTGAAAAACATTATTGTTGTACTTAATGCTACTGAACTGTACACTTAAAAATAATTAAAATGGCAAATTTTGTTTGCCATTTAGGTAAGCCAGATTTGAATCTAGGTTGTACCATGTATTATTATCTGTTTGATGTTGAACAATTCCCTGTGTCTCACTCAGTGTCTTATTTTTCCCCCACACAACAAGAGTTAACTGTAAAAAAAAAAAAAGTTAACTATATCATAAGGTTGAGGATTAAATGACCTAATATTTATAAATAGGCATCATGTAACTGCATATTAAATAAAACAGGCTTCAGAGCTAAGTAGCTAAATGGAAGAGTAAAAACAATACTTAAGTGTTCAGTAAGAGTTCAGCAAACATCAGCAATTACTATGAACTGAATTATATGAAGAAAATGACAGGCTGATAGTATTATAAATATATGAGTATTTTCAGTAGTCCATATACATGCACACCTATGTTCTTTTAGAATACCAAAGTGTAACTATATGATTTGCAATAATCAATGTTTCACATAATTAAATTTAATCTATACCAGGCATATTTATCCTGTATAATAAATGATATGTAAATTTATTTCAGCTTTCCAGGATATAATAAAGTGAAACCAATATAGTTAATGACTGAATACTTAACAGAAAATACACTATATCTGATCTTTGAATACTATTTCCTGTTTTTCTGTAGTGATCTAGGCAAATAATGAAACTTTCAGGATAAAAAATATATACCATAGCTTCCAAATTCATAGCTCATAATTTATTTCATACCACATATATCTACACCTGCTTTTATGTAATTAAATTTGAAAATTTGGTTATATTTAGGTGGGAAGTTGTACTCATAAATCTGTCTAAATGCATTTTCTTTGCTTAAAAAGATTTCAGTTACTTACCAAATTTTCTCTTTCAATCCTTTGTTGTTCCTTCTGTCTATTGAGAGCACTATGATATAACTTAGGGGGATGACCAATTGATCTTCTGGGAATTGCACTTTTGCTTCCGGGCTTCTCAGCCTGCCTTGACAGTTCTTTCAAAAGCCTCTGATTTTCCCGATCAATTTTTCGTACCTCTTCTCTTGTGAAAGAGTAGTTTTTTCTAGGTACTACTGAAGGCTGATCAAAGTGATGTTTTTGAGGTACCTTTTTATCTAACTGCAGAAAAGCTACAGAAATGAACAAAAAAAAGGCAAAATAGTTAATAAAGTAGCTATAATGGTAATAGGCTTCGACCTTTAAAAATATAAATCATTAATTCATGAAAGCATGTAGATGACTTCTCAGACTGCAGCTGTATAGAAACAAAATTTAGAGGTAACTTATAATTTTACACTGAGTTCTTTGGCCATAAAAGTTACACACAAAACAACACAAATACATATACATGGTAATGGTTTATAGGATGTATCATTTATGGAAAGTGCTTTCTTCATATGTATTTATGTTTCCCTATGGCAGTTTAATAGTTGCTGAGTTCATAAACCTTTGGGTTGAGTGCACAAATATAACAATTTCTTAGCTGTGGCTTTTGTTAGTTGGAGCACATACTTTAAAAAAATGTCCTGAGCAAAGACTGAGAGAAACAATGTCAAAAACAAACTCAGAATATTCTGAAACTATCACTGTAACCTGAAAATACTGTACTACAAAATATTTATGGATCTTAGTATTGTCATTAAAATAAATACTTATGTAAAGAACATCTCATCCATTATCAAACATAAGCCAAAATGATATATAAAAAGTGCTTTTAACTAAGAAAATATATTCTATGATTAGCAAATAAACTTTTATCAACATTCTTAAGTTTTTAAAATTTGCATAACATAAAATGTCACTAGACACAATTATTAACTGCTTGTAAAAAGTTAAAAATACGGAGCTTGCTGAATGTTTCCAGTTTACTATGTATTAAAATGGTAATATTCTATATTGGATTAATAGACAGGAATATTTGTCTTTGTTTTTTATTATAATATTTTTAAAAAATAACCATTATTTGTTTTTACTTGACTATTTTTGTTATTTCTTTTTCATGACTGGCATTGTACTATTAAAGTTCAGTGCTAAAAGGTAAAAGGTAATTTTACTCCCTATTAAAAAATGAGCATGGTGCAGAAAAGTTAAATCACTTAGGCAAAGTCACAAAAACAGTAATTCTATCTCCATTCCTAGGTTTAAATCTTAAAAGAGAAGACCATGAAATAGTATAGAAAATTTCAAAACAATGATTAGGGCTGGTAATGTAGCTCCGTGGTAGTACACTTGCCTGGCATGCAATGAGGCCCTGGGTTGGATCCCCAATACCTCCAAAAACAAACAAAAAAATCCCAGTGGCTTCCTGAGAGGAAAAATAAGGAAATTAATGGTTGGTAATTTGTTGAAAACCACAGCAATTGGCAAAACCTGAATGAGAACACATTTAGAAAGATATAAATGTGCTTTACATTTTAAATTATCTTGCTTCTAAGAAATACCTATCTTATAGAATTCAAAAGTTTTCTAGATTAATTTAGCTACATATAGAACTCATTAAGATTAAATTCTAAAAGAAATTAAAGCTATATTTCCTAATTACCAAAAAAGTTTTTAAAAATAAAGAAGGCAATAAGTGGAAAAAAAATTTAAAGCTATTTAATCTAATTCAGTTTTTAAAAAGACAGCATTCTAGCTCTTCCAGATGGAAAACTATATGAAGTGCTTATATACTGACAGCAGGTATTACTACAATATTTTTCTAAAGTAGCTATATGCTTTACTGTATATTTTAGTATAATGTTGTATGCTTCTCATGCTTTGAAACCTCAAATACAGATCCACTCTTTTTCCAATTAAGATCTAAAAAATGTTTTAATATGATTAAACTTTCAGGGATACAGATATATTTACATAAGTATGTATATTTAAACTTATATATTTAAAATACTGTTTTTCTCTAATTTTCCTTAGTAAAATAATTCTAAACTCTTCACATGAATTTCAACCATCATCACCAGAGTCACTTCTGGAGTTACCTGACATCATTTACTAGAGTATCAGATTTACTTTCATCTAAGCTATTTGAGTCAGACAGCTTTTTAAAATTTTATATGTGATGCTATAACTGGACATTTTATTCTAAAAATAAGTTTTTATTCATATATTAGTTCTTTTTAAATATTCATCTTGTAGTAATATTCATGATCTCTATTAAAAAAAGAGAATTTCCTTTTAAAATTGATGTTTAAAAGATTATTTTAAAAAAATCTAACACATATTTAACAAAGGCCATGATTTAAGGAATATAATTTACTAAACTGGCCTTCTTTATTAATTACTAGATAGGTGAAAAATTCTTGACATTCTTCACATCATTTCTTCTAAATATGGGCAGGCTTGTAACTGCTCTAATCAATAGGGGTACAGCCAAAATGATTTTCAACTTTCAAGTCTGGGTGATAAAAGGAGATGCAGTCCATTCCCTCACATGTTTGCTAAAATGTGTGCTTGGCTCCCTGGGCCATCCGACATGTCTGATTGCCTTGATGCTGCCATTGTATAAGGAAGCCAAATCACATAAAGAGGCCACGTGTAGGCACTTTGTAATCCTAGTCTGAGTTATCCAAAGCTGCTGCTTTACACAACCAAGTTTTGTGGTGCTCTTGTTAACAAGCAACAGTAATACAAAATCTGGTACCAGGAAGCCGAGGGCTATTACGACAAAACCTAAAATACATGGCACTAATTTTGTGTCAAGTAGAGCTGTAAAGACCTGGAATGAATTGTTGAAGTCTGAGAGACCCAATGGCAGATTGTTTAGCAATACTGTTGGCTATGGAGTTATGGAAAATGGAAAAAATTTCTTCTGCACTGATGGATTTTGCTAAGCAGATCTCCAAGCAGAATGCTGAAAGTACATTCTGGTTTATTTTATTTTTTATGTTATTTTTTAGCTGTAGTTGGACACAATACCTTTATTTCAATGTGGCGCTGAAGATTGAACCCAGGGCCTCATGCGTGCTATGCAAGTGCTCTACCACTGAGCCACAACCCCAGCCCCCATTCTGGTTTATTTATCCACAATAAGAATCCATAGGATATACAAAGATAAGCTTTAAAAAAAAAACACTGGTCAGTTTTCATGCAAATTATAAAAGAGCCAAGACTTACAGGATTCAGAATAAAACCACTTCTCATCTGTCATCTCTCCCAGAAAGATTCTCAAAGTATTCGAAGACCTGTAGCTGAGGAATCTCAGTAGTACTTGGACTTGTTGTAGGTAAAAGATTTAGAAACTCTGGGGTATATTTGGACAGGAATATATTTTCACATATGGAAGGAACATAAATAAATGTGTGGCTAGAAATCTCAGAGATTTTCTCAATTATTTGACATTCCTCCCATTAAGAGGAAGGGTCTATGTCTGTCCACTTTAAATCTAGAAGAGTTTCTGGCCATTTCAACCAACAGAGTATCAAAGAAATGATGCTATGTGACTTCAGAGATTAGGTCATAAAAAGTAATGAGATTTCTGTCTTGTTTCCTGGGTACATTTGTGCTTGGAACCTTGTTCAGTTACCAGCAGTCCCAGTTTTCTGGTGGTCCCAAGCCTAGGCACCTGATATGTGAGTAAATAAGCACTCAGATTATAGTCCACAGTCATTGGGTTGCCTCTAGTTTTAAGTGTCTCTATCCTTTAAGAGACAGGGAATTTATGATGTAGCAATAGTAACTGATGATTTTTATCACTTTAAAAAAAATTGTGTGACAAAATGCCTGTGAGACAAGTGTAGTCCACAAGCAGTTAATTATTTTATATGTTCTAATTGATTAAACAGTGTTCCTTGGGGGTTGAGACTTCACTGATTTTATTGTTTTCAAACTTTTTGGTGTATTTACTAACATAAAACACCCTCCTTTGTCCCTTTTAGTATTTTGCATATCTTGAATTCCATTTTGTATACTAATAGGATTGATACTTCTATTTTCTCATTTCTCTTTTTCAAACCTTTACTTTCATTCTCCCTAAACTATTTTAAATATCTTTTTAGGTTGGATTTTTCCCCTCCCAAATCAATAGGTATTTATTAAACAACTAGAGTTAGCATAACAGAAATGGTATCAAAAGGGCTTGTTTACTTCTAAAATTTTAAGACCCTTTCTGCCTATTAAAAGATTTAAGCAGCTCAAGGTCAAAGATCTAATTCTAGCCTGGCACAATGGTGGTGGTACACAACTGTAATCCCAGCTACTTGGGCAGTCAGGCAGGAGGACCCCAAGTTCAAGGCAACATATGGAGACCCTGTCTCAAAATTTAAAAAAGGAATAAAGCTCTGGGACTGTACCTCAGTGGTTGAGCACTTGCCTAGCATGTATAAAGTTCTGTGTTGATCCCCAGTACTGGAAAAAAAAAAAAAATCTCATTCCAAACACAAACTTTTTGAGACTTACATAGCAAAGGCAGGTTTAGGGTGGGGATGGAAAAATCCCCCAAGTCAGCCTTTCAAAAAATGAAGCTGAATATTCAGAATTTCTACTGACATTTCAAGGTCTACTTTGAAGTCATATATCTAACAATGCCAGTCTACACTGATCTTCTCTCCTAATATTTCTCACAGAACCCCAGAACTCTAAATTTAGAATGAAACCTACCAAACTACATAGACTACCGTATCCTACAAATGAAGAATCTGGGGTTCAGAACAGTAATTGGTTTATATATTTATATTTATATATTTATAATATATATATTATAGACATGTTGATAACCCAAAGAAGCCTGATTTTCTGATTCTATGTACAGAATTTTCTCCACCTTGCTATAAAAGTACCCAATTCAACACTGTTTCATTATTCCATGGTCTTTATGGGATATTTGGTTTTATATCCTTTAATTAATGTTTGTTTTACTTACTATTATGGAATCTGAATTTATATTTAATAAATAAAATTTATTTTAAACTAATACATGTGAACAATGTTAGCTAGGCATTCCTCACTTTTTAAATTCTTGCTCAATTTCTGTTATAAAAACTTGTAAAACTTTTTACTCAAAATTCACTACTGGAATCAATAAACTGTTTTAATGCATCTCTGTATTTAAGCCAGTAAAAATGTTTAAATTGAAAGTGTAGAGCTTATGCTGCTCAACTATTTTGATAGGATTGTATGTTGTGCTAAAAATTTTTAAAAATGTGTTATACATTATCACTTCATTTTCCCCATATTAAGTGGATTTATCTTCCAAGAAAGTGAAAAACACTGTAAAAACAATTATGTGAGCCAAAGAGGCCTAGAAAATCCTATTAGTAGAAGTTTAAAAGTGATTAAAAAGTGTATTGTGTGAGATAAGTGCAGAAAAGTCATGAGCCTGGACGTGCCTCCATCTACCATGACCGTGGTTTAATTATATGGGGAAAAGAAAAAAATTATGAAAATATTCTTGGATCTACAAAGTGTCACTGTGAATTGGAGCATGAATAATGATTTTGAAAATCTTAAGACTTACCTTGCAATGGACTGATATTCATAATTAGTGTTTAAAATGCTGTATTATAAAGAATCCTTGGTGGATTGTCATATTATGAATTCCAACAACAAATGTACCAATTGGCAAAATGCCACCTTTGTTCCAGTGCCTTAAAAAGCCCTGAGCACCACTAACTGACAAGTCTGTTAAGAGCGGAGATTTTTACTGTGCAGCAAGCAGTATGAATGAAACTTGCTGCTACGTTTCAGCTCAGCCTCTATGTTGAAAAGTTTCTATGGTATTTTGATTTAATTATAATTGAGAAAACTTCAGAAATTTAGGATGGGATCATTATTTTTTCCATTTAGAACTTTTATATAGGTTCACTATATCCAGAAATGGGTTAGAAAAGAATAGTTAAGAGATGGCTGTATTTATCTTATTTCATTTTATCTTTTAATATATTTTAGTTGTCAATGGATCTTTTATTTAATTAATTTATTTATTTATATGTGGTGCTGAGGATCAAACCCAGGGCCTCACACATGCCAGGCAAGCATTCTACCACCGAGCCATCCCTCCAGCCCCCCTGTATTTATTTCTAAACAGAACCAAACAGTAGTGTCATGATATCCACAGGATGGTCCTCGGATCAGCAGAATTAGTATTACCATTAGGCACTGGTTAGAAATGTAGCTTTGGCTCTACCTTAGTTTTACTGAACAAAAATCTGCATTTTAACAAGATCCCAGGGTGGCCTATATACAATTAAAGTTTGGAAGCTTGTGTAGACAAAGTTGATTGCCCAATTAACATAAATTCCTACTTTTCCCTTAATAGATGCTGGCTTCCCCACAACTTCCACCTCTAACTCCAGGGCGAGTCTGATTGGCCAGGGATAATCGCACTTCCTTTGCCAATTACTGGTTCAGGAATAGGAGTGTAAGCTAATTAAGCTAATTCTAGCTGATGAGACTTAAATGGAAGTGGCCTGGAGATTATTTTTTTAAAGTTTCCTCCATTCCAAGAAAGTGAAAGGAAGAGATAATTTCTCTTTCTCTGGACAATGTCAGAGAATTCTGTGTGCAGATGAATACTGAAAACTGCTTCAGATTATCTCCTAGAAGCCCAAGAATGAAGATACTACCAGGGCTGGAGGAAGAAAATGGTAGGCATTTTGAGTTTGTAAGGCACTAAAATAAAGTTAGTGTGAAGCTTCTAGTCTTAGCTCATTACCTTTGCAATGTTTCTTTTCTGATAACACAAATAATATTCTAGATATTTTCATGATGGAATATTTGGTAGAGTTACTCATGTATCAATCATTTCAAACAACAGAAGATATCTAGTCAAAAAATCAGTGTAAATTCACAGCATTCAACATTAATAATAATTAATATTTAATGTACAAATTTTAAAGAGCAAAGAAAATTACCTTTTAAGAGATGATTCAGATCCATTGTGTCATGTAAGACTTTCTGTTTATATCTATGATCTAAATCAGAATCTGGTGAATTTGGGGTGAGATTAGGTCCACATTTTTCTTTCCCTTTCCTGGCTGTTTTCAAATGTTTTGAATCATTTTTTAAAACCTCAACATCTTCATATACCTCTTGACTCACATTTTCTTGCCTTTTAACTTTTATTTTTTGGTCATTTGATGCACCCAGTTCAAAAGACTGAATAGGGCTAATGTCTGGAGTTGATAAAGGAGTTACATCTGTCACAGTATCTTCAGATTCCTCTGGGGAGTCATCAATTTTTGGCTTAGTACTTGAATAGGGTTGTGTTCCTGCTGATTTTATTCTTGACTTATATTTCTGTTTTGGTGATAAGAGGGTTACACCAGATATAGGTTTCCTTGATGATGGACGCGAATGAGATTTACAGATATCTGATTCTGCATCTGAACAGTCTGTACCTGAACTTGAAGATGAGGAAGACAAAGAAGAGGAAGAGGAACTAACTTTGGAATACTTTTTGCTCATGCTTTTTTTGAAGTTATTAGATGCTTTAGCTGACCTAGACTTTACATGATGTTTTTTCCCATCATCACTGCTTTCTTCTCCATCAGTATAGTAATCATCTTCACCTTCTTTTACAATTTTGGGAATTCTACTTGGAATGGGCAAGTGTATTTTATAACCTGTTGCAGCATCATACAATTTTTTTGATCCTGAAGAAGTGGTCAATGAAGAACTGGTTTGCAAAATATCATTCTTTACAAGATGTTCGTCTGAAAGAAGTTTTGCTTTTCTTTCATTTCCCTTCTCAGTAAGATAACATTTGTTTGTTTGTATTCCAAATTTTAAGTTTATATTTCCTGTACTCTTATCTATTCTCTCTTTAGGATCATAATTTTGCTTGTCCACAACTAAGTTACTTTCACATTTCTTTGCTGCTTCTTCAAAATCACTGTCAAAGAAAGAATGGTCTACTTCACCTTCTGATATATCTTCAAACCGATCCATGATGGCAAAAATATATCTGAAAAAAAAGTAAAGTGTAAAACATCAGACTAAACTTCCAAATATATATATATTTAATTTTATACAGTTGTTCTAGTCAGCTTTTTCATTGCAGTGACTAAAGGACCTAACAAGAACAATTTTAAAGAGGAAATGTTTATTCAAGGTCTCAGTTTCTGAGGTCTCAGTCCCTTCTTACTGAGGAATAAAAACATTAAAGGCACTCATACAAAGCTGACCAAGTAACTTGGAAGCTACGACATAATCACACGTAGAAGATGACAAGGGGAGAACATATCTGTCTCTGTTAAAGAGGGTTTGATATAAGAGATATTTCATAGTAGACAGTCAATGACTGTCTAAGAGAAAATTCAAGGCACATTATTTAGACACATGAAGTTAAATATTTAAAGAAATTGATTAAAATGTTCAACATAATTGCCTCCACCATAGGTCAGGTACCACTGTTTTTTGTTAGAAATCTTAAATTACTGTATAATATAACTATATTATACATATTATATATTATATTATATATATATGTACTACAATGATTCAAAATATCTTATTATTTTATACAATTGAAATGAAACTGGAAATGTCATTATAAAGTCATGGCCTTTAAAAAGTATTTATCTCTGTAATTAACAGTGGTCTAAGCAGCAGTGTCATATTATCTTTTACTGATAGTTCATTTTGATATTTAGTATTACTCTCTACTAAAAAATAAACAGGATTCTCTGGAAGGCAGCTGATTTTGTTGTTGGAGATTAAAAAAAACCCAAACAACAAAAAAACCAAAAACAGCATCTTATACAGTATCTTAACATGGCCAGAAAGCATAATATTCAAATATGCCTTTGAGTAGTAGCAATGAAACAAAGGATCCAGTTTAAAGTTCTAAATTGTATAAACTAGACAATTTAGAACTATAAAACAAAAAATATTATGTAAAAATTTTTAAAATTTGTAGAAAGTCATGAGTTCATAAAGATCAAAAGGAATAACATTCATTATATTAAAGAAAAGGCACAAAAGGATTCTCAATAACATGTAGCTAATAATGCAATTACTTACTTATCACTATAACTGTAGTCTTTCATTAAGTGACCTTATAATATAAGAGAGGCTATAAAAACAAGTATAGACATAATTTAGAAATAAATCAAACTTCTATTAACAATAATGTAGACAAAGTATGGTGATGCACACCTGTAAACCCAGTAACTCCGGAGATTGAAGCAGGAAGATCACAAGTTTGAGACCAGTCTCAACAATTTAATGAAATTTTGTCTCAAAATATAAAAAAGGGCTGGGGATGGTAGAGCACTCCTGGGTTAAACTCTATCAACACCATCACCACTAATAATAATAATAAGATAATAGGTTAAGTGTGTGTGGTAGTATTTAACCACTGAATAACTTTGTTTGTCTTTGTTTGAAGACTTCAAGATATTCTCATTACTTTACTACAGAACCCTAAAGAGAGAAATAGAAGAAGATCTTAGAAGATGGAAAAATATACCCTGTTCATGGATAGGCAGAACTAACATCATCAAAATGGCGATATTACCAAAAGTTCTCTATAGGTTTAATGCAATGCCAATCAAAATCCCAACGGCATTTCTTGTAGAAATAGAGAAAGCAATCATGAAATTCATATGGAAAAATAAAAGACCCAGAATAGCAAAAACAATGCTAAGCAGGAAGTGTGAATCAGGTGGTATAGCAATACCAGACTTCAAACTATACTACAGAGCAATAGTAACAAAAACAGCATGGTACTGGTACCAAAACAGGCGGGTGGACCAATGGTACAGAATAGAGGACACAGAAACCAATCCACAAAACTACAACTATCTTATATTTGATAAAGGGGCTAAAAGCATGCAATGGAGGAAGGACAGCATCTTCAACAAATGGTGCTGGGAAAACTGGAAATCCATATGCAACAAAATGAAACTGAATCCCTTTCTCTCGCCATGCACAAAAGTTAATTCAAAATGGATCAAGGAGCTTGATATCAAACCAGAGACACGCCGTCTGATAGAAGAAAAAGTTGGCTACGATCTACAGTCGGTGGGGTCGGGCTCCAAATTCCTCAATAGGACACCCATAGCACAAAAGTTAATAACTAGAATCAACAAATGGGACTTACTCAAACTAAAAAGTTTTTTCTTAGCAAAAGAAACAATAAGAGAGGTAAATAGGGAGCCTACATCCTGGGAACAAATCTTTACTCCTCACACTTCAGATAGAGCCCTAATATCCAGAGTGTACAAAGAACTCAAAAAATTAGACAATAAGATAACAAATAACCCAATCAACAAATGGGCCAAGGACCTGAACAGACACTTCTCAGAGGAGGACATACAATTAATCAACAAGTACATGAAAAAATGCTCACCATCTCTAGCAGTCAGAGAAATGCAAATCAAAACCACCCTAAGATACCATCTCACTCCAGTAAGATTGGCAGCCATTATGAAGTCAAACAACAACAAGTGCTGGCGAGGATGTGGGGAAAAGGGTACACTTGTACATTGCTGGTGGGACTGCAAATTGGTGCAGCCAAATTTGGAAAGCAGTATGGAGATTTCTTGGAAAGCTGGGAATGGAGCCACCATTTGACCCAGCTATTCCCCTTCTCGGTCTATTCCCTAAAGACCTAAAAAGAGCATGCTACAGGGACACTGCTACATCGATGTTCATAGCAGCACAATTCACAATAGCAAGACTGTGGAACCAACCTAGATGCCCTTCAATAGACGAATGGATAAAAAAAATGTGGCATTTATACACAATGGAGTATTACTCTGCATTAAAAAATGACAAAATCATAGAATTTGCAGGGAAATGGATGGCATTAGAGCAGATTATGCTAAATGAAGCTAGCCAATCCCTAAAAAACAAATGCCAAATGTCTTCTTTGATATAAGGAGAGTAACTAAGAACAGAGTAGGGACGAAGAGCATGAGAAGAAGATTAACATTAAACAGGGATGAGAGGTGGGAGGGAAAGGGAGAGAGAAGGGAAATTGCATGGAAATGGAAGGAGACCCTCAGGGTTATACAAAAGTACATACAAGAGGAAGTGAGGGGAAAGGGAAAAATAATACAAGGGGGAGAAATGAATGACAGTAGAGGGGGTAGAGAGAGAATCGGGGAGGGGAGGGGAGGGGAGGGGTATAGTAGAGGATAGGATAGGCAGCAGAATACAACAGACACTAGTATGGCAATATGTAAATCAATGGATGTGTAACTGATGTGATTCTGCAATCTGTATATGGGGTAAAAATGGGAGTTCATAACCCACTTGAATCAAAGTGTGAAATATGATATATCAAGAAACATGTAATGTTTTGAACAACCAACAATAAAAAATAAAAAAAAAATACTTTGTCAATTATCATTATTTTGTGTATAGGCATAGTGTTGAGGGTCCTAGCCTTTAGACTTTAAAAATTTAACTATAATCCACTTTTAAATGCTTAACAGAATCAATTTAGTAAGTCTGGATTTTGAAGTTTTATAAACAAAGTCTCAGTGCTTAGGAAGATTTACTTAGATTTGTAAGTATATCTTGATGTGTGCTTAGGTACTAAAGAAAATTAAACATAATAAAAAATTATGGTGGTAAGCAATTTTGCAAATGGTGTATAATGTTCAGGGAAAATATACAAAAGGTATTTATAATCAAAATATAAGTGAGTTTTAAAATTTTAACCCCAAACTAGATTTAAACAGAAACATGTTTAAGTACATATTAACATTAAAAAAAATAAGATTATAAAATTTATTTCTAATAAGCATTAAAATATAAGATGTACTGTTTTTCTACCACAGATTAATGTCCTCATTACATTTTGAAGTTCAAATTGACAGAGATGATTCTGAAGGTACAGCTCAATGGTAGAGCGCTTGCCTAATCTTCACCAGGCCTGGGTTCAATTTCCACCACTGCAAAAAATAAACAAACAAACTACAAGCCAAAACAACAGAGGGAAGCTTTCCTCCCAAGCCCCCAAAAGAAAGATATCTAGTGAGGTTTTAGGCATTATATTTATCCACATAGATATCAAAGTCTATTCTATAAAATCTCAAATTTGTCTTTTAGGGTATGTCACAATTAGTTTTCAGATCTATGAAAAATCCATATACTCTTTGAAATCAGTTACTTCATTTCTGGAAATTTATCTTAAGAATGTAATATTAAAAATAACTATCACTTGTGATACTTGAAAAACTTGTATAGAGAAAAACTATGATTCCATCAAAATAATAATTAAGGGTGGAGGATGGGAAAGGCAGCGGAGCACAACAGACACTAGTATGGCAATATGTAAATCAATGGATGTGTAACTGATGTGATTCTGCAATCTGTGTATGGGGTGAAGGTGGGAGTTCATAACCCACTTGAATCAAAGTGTGGAATATGATATGTCAAGAAATTTGTAATGTTTTGAACAACCCAAAATAAAAAATTAAAATAATAATAATAATAATAATAATAATAATAATTAAGATCAGAAGTAAGCAAATTATTGTCCAGGACCAAATGTGGCTTACCATCTTTTTTTTTTTTTTTAATTTTCCTTTTTAATTTTTTTTTAAATTTTTTATTTGTTTTAATTAGTTACATCTGTTTTTGTAAATAAAGTTTTACTGGAATACAGCCCCATTCATGTGTTTTGGTATTGTCTCTGACAGGTTTCATACTATAATTGCAGAGCTGAGTAGTTGAGACACAAGCCCTATAACCCACAAAAATCAAAACATTTACTACTTGGCCCTTTACTGAAAAAGTTTATGAACTATCAGCATGGAAAAATATAGAATACATACAGAATACTTGTCATTTATACTGGATTAATAATACAATTTATACATTTAAATAAAAACTAGGAGATAAAAACAAATCAAGAGTTGATCTGTTAAAATAAAAATCACAATACTACTGCATATTTTTATATTTCTGTCACTACACTAAATAGTGTTTGTGCAATAAATGATGAGTGAGAGTTTGCTCAGTGTTTGAAAAGAAATGAACTGAGACATACTGAGGCTTAAAACTTGGTTCTGACACTTTTGTATAATTTTGAGCAAATGTATAAAGATATTTGTCATAACAATTGTAATAGCAATGAGTTAGAATCAATGTCAATGTCTCTGCTAAGAGGAAATGGATAAATAAAATGTTGTACAAGCATTTGTAAATTGAGATCCTACAAAAATATTGTTGATTAAAAAAGCAGAATTAAGTGATCAACAATAAAAGTATGTAAAGCTTACCAAACAATGCTATATTCTCATTGACACAGACATAAAAAAATGTTACATAGTGCGAACTGGAAAGACATACAATAAAAATCCAAGAATATAAACTTATGAGGGGAAGGGAGGATTGAGGCTTGTGTAGGGCTGTGTCAGTATTGGCTATCACAAATCCTAAAGAATATGACTGACAATTATGATTGACTATTAACAATCTAATTCTCTCTACCCAAGGTCAAAAAGAATAGAGATATCATACTTAAGCATAAGGAGAGAGCAATCCTACTAAGTCATAATACAATTGTAAGTACATAATACAATAAATAAACTACAAGCCAAAACAAAAGAGGGAAGCTTTTTCTAAATGGTTTGCCTACACTTATTAATAGATATGTGACTATCTTACTGGGCACAATGGCCTATAATCCCATTGGCTCAGGAGGCTGAAGTAGGAGGATGGTAAATTCAAAGCCAGCCTCAACAAAAGCAGGGCATTAAGCAACTCAGTGAGACCCTGTTTCTAAATAAAATACAAAATAGGGCTGGGGATGTGGCTGAGTGCTTGAATGCCTGAGTTTAATCCCTGGTACCCAACCTTCCAAAACAGACAAGTGACTATCTCAATGAATGTTTCTGCTTGACTCTACTGGGAAATATAAAAAGCTTGATACAAAAGCTTAATTTTTCCTAGTCATTGATTCCCCCCATTCCTAGTTGCTTTTAAAAACATATTTTTCAGATCATTCCAACTCATATTCCTCAGAAAAACTTTCTAAATTTTAAAGAAATAAAATTATAAATCATAAACATGTATCACTTGTATTAGTGCTATATGATATTCTATTACTAATAGCTATATGTAGTGTTTACTATATATAAGCAATGCAATTTTAAGAGGTTTTATTATTCCCATTTACAATGAGGAAACTGAAGCAGAGCAAGAATTTGTCCAAAGTCACACAGCTAGTAAGGAGCATAGCCAAGATTGTAAAGCAGGAATTTTTTAAAGATCATGTTATTTTTTTAATATCTTTTATTTCTTTTTATTTATTTTTATGTGCTGAGGATCGAACCCAGGGCCTCACACATGTGAGGCAAGAGGCTCTACTACTGAGCCACAACCTCAGCCCCCAAGATCATGTTATTATCTACTGTTTTGTTCTGTTTCTTAGGACTACTGTTTGCTTCTATTATGTGAGAGTGGGCAACATTACAAGCCCCAGACTTTCCAACTTAATTTAAAGTCATTCTCCCATCCCAATTTGAGCTGTGACCAAAACCCCCTTTCCAAAGAGAAGAAAATGCATTCCAAAAATATTTCCAGCAAAGAGTGCTAATTCTGGAAGTCACTAATCTTAAAACATTCTTAGAATGCCTCTTTTGGGTGTACAAAATAATAGAAGAATTTGTTACCAATCCCTGATAACTTTAAAGGATACCTATATAAAGTTTTTTTATGATGGTTTATGGCACATTGTAAATGTTGGGACTGATACTCTTCCTAACCCCTACCTGACAGCTCCCCAACAGTCCTGAAACTATTTTTACCTTCCCCTGTACTCCATGGCTACTTTTCATTCTTTTAAAAAACTGGTGTATTATAGTTGTATATATTGATGGAATTTACTGTTACATATTTCTACATGCACAAAATATAACAATATAATTTGGTCAATATCATTCCCCAGCATTACCCCCCTCCTTCCCTTGGTTCCTTTTCCTCTACTGATCTCCTTTTGATTTTAAGGATATCCACCCGCCATCTTTGTTTTCCTTTTTACTCTCTAGTTTCCACATGAGACAAAATATCCATTCTGAGTTTGACATAAATGAAATAATGCACTTAACATAATGGTCTCTAGTTTCATCCATTTCCTGCAAAGGGCCCATGGGCTAATTTTAGGTATTAGTTTGACTGGATTAAGGAATGAATAGAGAACTACTAGTAAAGCTCCCTACTAATCACCACCCTTACATTAAGAATGAAGAAACTAAGGCTTGGCAAATACAAGTGACTTGAGTAATTTAAATTTAACTTAAGAATAAAACATTTTGAATTTCAGGTTTTTGGAAAAGGGATGCCTAACCTGTAATAACTTAAATACAATGATGTAGGAAGGTGAAGAAGGAAGATGTGCAGAGGACCTCAGTTTAAAAAGTTTCAGGGTCAATTGAAAAAAAGAGTTGGAAATCACCCAGCAGCAAACTATGACTTGACAACCCCCCCCCCAAAAAAAAAAGTATGTTCTTAAATCATACAGGTAAAGCAGCAAACAGCCTAAAAGGTTTTTATGATGGTGTATGGCATATGGTAAATGTTGGGGTTCACATTCTTCCTAAGCCCCTACCCTGACAAGATTTTTACCTGCCCCTGTACCCCATAGCTAATATCAGGTGCATTATATTTTGCTTGGTCAAATAACTTCTTGAATGAAGCATTTAATTCTATGATAAATGGTAAAGAGTCTAAAATCTAAATCGTGATTAGAACAATGACAAAGGGAGATGGCACTGCAACATACACCTGTAATCCCAGCGACTCAGGAGGTTGAGGTAGGAGGATAGCAAGTTTGAGGCTAGCTTCAGTAACTAGCAAGATCACACCTCAAAATAAAAAGGGCTGGAAATGTAGCTCAGTGGTAAAGAACCCCTAGTTTCAAGCCTCAGTATCCCCGCCCCCCCCCAAAAAAAAAAAAAAGAATGATTAAGGGAAAGCTGATACTTTCATTTCAGGACTGTGATATTAAAAAAGATTGTAGTTCCAGAGGTAGAACTTAAGTCAACAGATGACATACACAACGAAGCTGTTCTGAGCTTAGTATAAGAACTGCTTAAAAATAGAATGAGTACTTTCTTCAATTATGAATCCTGAGTCATTAAAAAGACTGAATGACCACTTGCTGGGATGCTGCAAAGACACTGAACATGTAGGGAGAACAGTATCTTTCCCAACTTCAAACTAGTTCTAAATCCCAAAGTCTCTCCACAGCCAATGGACTACAGATACACCTTTGATATCTCTGTCACATAGCCAACAGTTTCCTATCTGGCTTGTGAAGGGTCCCAGAATATACCACCCCAAAACATGCCTTTAGCATAAGGATCATTTTGAGGTAAAGACAACTGAGAATTTAACAGATGTAGAAACAACTCCCAGAACTTCCCTTATCTGACTGAAATCAGAAACTTTCATATAATGAGGACAGCCATAAAATTCCCCTCTCCCAAGAAAGGTATTTGACCATGAAAAAGAAAGATGGCACTGAGAGGGACCTGCACAAATAGATCCTGCTAGATAGAGTCCTTATCTTTCATTCATTCTCCCTTATAGTCCCTAGAGACCTATAAAACCTTTTTCTTTGTCATTGTGTTTCCACAATGTATTGTTCTTTGTTAAGAATGGTACATATACTCTTAAACCTATCCACTTCTTCAGGTCTTCACTTCTTTTCTAGAAAAGTCCTGTGTCATGACAAAAATTAGTGTCAAATACAATTTGGTAGCTTTTCTCCTGTTGATCTGTCTTGTCAACTTAATTTCCAGAGCTACAGCTGCAGAATCTAAGAGACTAGAGGAAGAGATCCCCCCACATCCCCAATCTCCTACTTTGTCCCCTTACCAGACTGGTTAGAGCTGGCATGCTTATAGTCCCAGCTACTATAGGAGGCTAGGATTGGACTTGAGTCCTGGAGTTACACACCAGCCTTGAAACACAGACCATCTCCATTAAAAAAAAAATAATAAAATAAAAAATAAAAATCTATTCCCTTACCAGATTGGAAGCTTCTGATGTCTTGCTCATCTTTACATTCCCATTCCCAATGTCTAAGGAGGACCTAACAAATATGAGTCATTTAACGAATGTTTCTCCATGAAGGAGTTTGGAGTTAAGATACTTAAGATTGAGCTGTGATTCTTCTCTTTGCTAGCCATAGCAGGCAGAAAAAAGTTTTCAACCTAGCTTCCTGCACTTTCCTTCACTCCCTCCAGATACATAAATCAGAACTATCCCATCTGCATTTCCAGTAACACAGTCCCCAACAGTTTTATAAGTCATCTGCTTTCCTAAATGGTCACAGTTCATGAGGGAATTTTTATTTTTTATTTTTTTGGTTTACATTCAGATCCATAATATCTAACAGGGTTATAGGAAGAATTTAAACACTCATCATTTAACTTACTTTATAGGAAAATTTATCCAACAGTCTGATCCACGAAGTGATTCTTTTGCTAATGTTTACTTCACAGTTAACAGGATCCACAGTCAGGCAGGTGGTGCATGCCTATAATAAGGAGGCTGAGGCAGGAGGACTGCCAAGTTGGGGGCCTCAGCAACTCAGCAAATGCCTCAGCAATCTAGCGAAACTCTAAGCAACTCAGCCTTGTCTCAAAATAAATAAAATAAAATAAAAGGGCTGGGGATGTAGTTCTGCAGTACAGCACCAAATGGTGCCTTCATAAAGTAGTTTAGATTCTCTTTATAAGATATCGGGAAAAGGGTAAAATATGTAATAGTGTATCACAAAATACTAATAACCCTTTGTTACTCAAGACAGGATTTTGCCAAAGCTGCCTGGGAGTCACTGGGACCCTCACAATTTGCAAAGCTCATGCGGAGCTACCAACAGAAATACTGGTGCTTTGACAACACATCAGGAAATACATACACACACAAATATGGTATTATTTAAATGTCATTTTGTTCATGTGACATTACATTCTTGTAGCTATGTAACAGGGCCCAAGAACATACCCAATACACAAAAATCGTCACGACCCCTTGTCAAAGAGGTGGCCGAAGACAGTCTCAGGTCTTAGGGTTCAGATTCAAGTACGTGGAGATGGGCAGCAGCGGTCAGAGCCCAAGTACCGGTCGCAACCACATTCCAATTCAGAGACGACCAAGACCCGAGCCACCTCGAACGCATCTTGAGGGTAGGACCGCCGTTCCCACCAGGGCGGGTAGGGGTGCGGACGGTCCCACCGACACAGGCTTGGGAGCCTTTGTTGTGGTTACACCCGCCGCTCCGGGGGCTGGCCAAGCCGAGGTGCGGAGCAGAGGGCCTGGGGGCTCCGGCGGGCCCGCCTTCCAACCTCCCGCCTAGGCTTGCAGGCACCCACCCGAGTGCTCGCCGCCGCCTGGGCGCTGGAGACGGGAAACGGATCCCGAACCGCGGGGAAGGTGGCGGGCGCGCCCCGGGGAGCGACAAAAGGGGAGCTCGCGCTATGCTCACCTGGGAGCCGACGCTATTACAGTCTCTCACGCGGCGCCGGGGCGCTCGCGGCCTCACTCGCTCACTGGAATTTATGCATGCACGCACGCGCTAGCGCGCTCCTGCGGCCCCTGCTCGCGGCCCCGTCGGCCCGCGCTTCCGGAACGGGAGGGAGCGGAAGGAGAAAGGGGGACCGGGAGGGAGCCGCGGGTCTGCGAAAGGTAGCGGAATCCGACGCGCTGTACTGCGCGGCACCTCGCGGAGGCGTCACAGAACGCGGCGGAGGTTCCGCGGTGCGCCCGGGTCTCGCGAGGGGAAAAGAAATCCTTCCAGGCCTCTGCTGCCCAGGGGATCCTAGATGTGTTACTTCCTCCACCCACCTTTTAACGCAGATCGGGTAGGTCACGTTATCGGGGATAATTTAACAGCAAAAGCTGTTTTGGTCATCTTGTAATTCTGTACCAAAAAGACGAGAATAAAAACGGAGGACCACGGTTTCTCTGACGTATTTTGTAACAGTAAATGGTTCTGTGCACCAATGGCTGGTAACACATTGAAAGTCCACTTCCTCCTGGTAAAGGAAGTATAGTTAAAACAATCTGAAAAGAAAAGTCGTCTCTGCAAAATATATGAAATGCCTTAATTTCTCGTTGAACTCTAAGGCACATGATAGGTATGGTGAAATAATGGCACCCATAATATGCCCACCTCCTAATGCCTAGAACCTGTAAGTAAATGGGGATTTTGCTGATGTGATTAAGGATCAAAATGGAACTACAAACCTAGATTATCTATCTAATGGGCCCAGAGTAAATCCAAGGACCCTCACAAGAGGGGAGGCAGGAGCTGTGGAAGAGACCTTGAGCAGACCAACTAAAAAAACAAAGGAGGAAATGGATGCCCACCTGATGAAGGAATGCATACCGTATTGCTGATACCTTGATTTTAACTTCTGACCTCCAGAACCATAATCCAATAAATTTGTGTTGTTTTACTCTAAGTTTGGAGTAATTTGTTACAACAACAAGAAGACTCTAAACAGTAGATATTTAAAAAATATTTACATGAAAGTTCAATGGAAGGAAATACATATTTAACCATATCCTCGTGAATCCAAGAATGAAACACTTGATGTTAAAGCTAAACACAGAAGAACAAGTATAATTCTGTTTGTATGAGGAAGTCATATTCATAGACAGAAAGCAGAATAATAGTCCCTAGGGTTTCTGGGGAGAAGGGAATAGGAAGTTGATGTATTTGGGTTGTTAAAAAAGTTCTGAGCGGGGCTGGTGGTGCACACCTGTAATCACAGTGGCTGGGGAGGCTAAGGCAGTAGGATCCCAAGTTCAAAGCCAGCTTCAGCAACAGCCAGGCGCTGAACAACTCAGTGAGACCCTGTCTCTAAAATACAAAACAGGGCTGGGGATGTGGCTCAGTGGTTGAAAGCCCCTGAGTTTAATCCCTGGTACTAAAAAAAGAAAATTCTGGGCTGGGACTGTGGCTCAGCGGTAGAGTGCCCGGGTTCCATTCTCTGCACCACATAAAAATAAAGGTATTGTGTTCATCTACACCTAAAAAGTAAATATTTTTTAAAAAAATTCTGGAGAATGGAAAATGGTATAGTTGCATAACAACATGAATAAGTGTTGAATTATACATTAAAAATTATTAAAATGGTAAATTTTATGTTTTGTATATTTTACCACAATAAAAAAACCCCACATTTTAAAGTTTTATACCTTAAAGTATTTTTGACTCTCTTTTGGGGCTTTGAGTTTGTAAATTTTGTCTTGTTTCTGTTGTCTTAGGCATTCAGGCTACTATAACAAAATTCCATAGACATGGTGACTTGTGTACAACTAACATTTCTTACAGTTCAGGAGACTAGGAAGTTCAAGACCAGAGCAGACTAGGTGTCTAGTGAGAGCTTATTTCCTGGTTCAGAGATGGCTCCTTTGTAGGTCTTCACATGTTATAAGGGACTTGGCAGCTCTTTCAGGCCTCTTTTTTTTTAATATTTATTTTTTAGTGTAGTTGGACACAACAGCTTTATTTTTATGTGGTGCTGAGGATTGAACCTAGGGCCTACGGACATACTAGGCTAGCGCTCTACCACTGAACCACAACTCCAGCCCCTTTCAGGCCTCTTTTATAAGGATACTAATCCCATTTATGCAAGCTGTGCCCTCAAGACCTAATCACTTCCCAGAACCCTACTTCCTAATATCAACACATTGGTGACTAGGGCTCAACATACGAATTTTGAGGAAACAAACATTCAAACCATAATATTAATTGTGCACTGCCTACTTTATATTTTTCTCTGCTCATGACAAGTGTAGTAAAATATAGATCAGTTCAAAATTTATTAGCTGTTAGCATTCTCTAGAGGAACAGAATCAGCAGGGTGTGTGTGTGTGTGTGATTATAAAAAGGGATTTATTAGATTGGCTTACAAATCAGAATCTAGTCCAACAGTGTCCTTATGCGCACCAGAGAGCTGGAGAAAGCAGTAGTAGCTTTGTCCAAGAAGCTACACAGCCTCAGTCTGAAACTAAAGGCCTGGGAACTCACCTGTATAATTGCTGGCCAGAATTCATCTTGAAAGAATGAAGAACTGGAGTCTAGTTTCCTCGGGCAATGGCAGTAGCAAAGAATGCACCCTCTTAAGAAGAATCAAGCTTACAATTGCTACATTTGAACTGGCAGCCTGTTGGACAATGCTGCCTACATTCAGAGAGGATCTTCCCTCAATTTGCCGTCCCTCATGCCAAACATCTCTGGAAACACCCTCATACACACTCCCAGAATTCTCTTAATCTTAGGCATCTTTCAGTCTGTTCCAGTTGACAATCCAGATCATCACATTAGCTCAGTGCTTTCTGGAGACGTATCAAGTAGTCACAATTTATTTTCTTTATAATTTGCTGATCACTAATATTGATGTCAAAATCTAGGTGAGTTTACAATTTTTTTGTTTTGTAATTTGAAAACATTGGAGTAAAATAAAACTAAATTATATGGTTAGCATCTTTATTACCAGACTCCTAACAGGCAAACATAAATAGTTGTTTACTGTCTCCTGTGACCTTATCCTCATCCTTTCCTTGTTTCCTAAGTAGATGGGAACAGATTATGAAGATTATCAACTTCAGGGACAAGAAATGTAAACTTTTATGTATTTACAGTGGTAAATCACTAGATGTTACTGACTTGGGTGAGCAAACAAGTGATCCACCAGAAACTAATAAAATGTATTTTGTCAATTGGTGATGGTTGTCATTAAAGTAATAGAAAAACTGAATTCGCTCCCTTACATTTAAACTCACATGTAGCCTGTTCCCTTATTTACTCCTTAATGGGCCATGTGATTTGCTTTGGCCAAGGGGACATTGGCAAACAACACAACAGCTTAAAAGTACTTGCATATTTCATCCCTGAGGATGTCATGTGAAGAAGCCCATACTAACATCTTGGGGGATAAGAACACAGGCTGCAAAGACAAGTCACCTCAGCAGAGGTTCTACAGACCAAGCAGCCTCTAGGCTATGTACCAACAGGGTACAGCTTTATTTTTTTATTTGGATACTGGCAATTGAACCCAGGAATATTTTCACCACTGAGCTACATCCCCACTCCTTTTTTTTTTGGACGATACTGGGGATTGAACTCAGGACCTTGCACATGCTAGATACGTGCTTGGCCACTGAGTTACATGCCTCACCACCAGTCCTTTTTTTAATTAGTTTGAAAGGTTCTCATTAAATTGCTGAGGGTCTCACCAAGTTGCATATGCTGGCCTTGAACTTGCAACCCTCCTGCTTCAGCCTCCAGAATTGCTGGGATTACGGGTATGTGTCACCATACCTGGCTAGTTACAGCTTTATCAGTGACCCTGGACAAGAAGAGGAGAATTGCCCAGCTGACCTAACTGACATTGCTGGTCCATAAAATCATACAATGACTTTTATACAGGGTATGTATTATGCAATTGTAGATAATTGACATGCAGTGTTTACTACAGTTTGAATCTGGAATATCCCCAAAGGCCCATGTGTTAAAGGCTTGTCACCAGTGTGGCATTATTGGGAGGTGGTGGAACCTTAGAGGCAGTGAGCCTAGTGGAAAGAAGTTAGGCCATGGGGGGGGGGCGCGGGGAGTACCTTAAAAGTGATATTGGAATGCCAATATCTTCCTTTCTTTTGGTTACTGAGCATCATGAATCAGGAAGCTTTTCTCTGCCACATACTTCCTACTATGATGTTCTGCCTTGCCACAGCCTAAGAGCAAGGGGCCAAGTAACCAGACTAAAATAAACAGAAAGTTGACTTAACACTCTATTTCCTCAAATTTTAGATCAACATCTAGATAAGTCAAAAATATCCTTTTTTTGTGATCTACCCTTATTCTCTGTCTGAATATCAGCTGATTTCATTTTCAATACTCTTTGTGATTTTGTTTCTCTTTAGGGATTAACATAAAGACATTTCTGCCTAAAAGTTTACCAGTATGGATACTTCTACTAATATGGAAACTCACATATACTAATATGGAAACTCACTAAAATTATATGTGTGTGCACACACACACACACACAAATATATATATATATTTTAAAGTTACTTTCAGAGATTCAGTTTCCTATAAGCAATACTGCAGTATGTTTCCTTCCAGGTTTAGCAGTCTACTATTTGCGTTTATTGCATTTTGTGATTTTTCACTTTCCCTTTTTAAAGTCTGACAATAAATTTCTTCTCATATATTTTCCACAAATCACAATTTTTTTGAGGTTATAAGAAAAACATTAACTGACTTGTTATGGTCTTACAGTAAATTGGTGGAAGAAACTAGAATCTATATAGGTCTCTGAACTTGCATCAATGTCTTTATTCACAATTTCCCTAAAAGTGGCCAAGGACAAACATTGTGGTTTTCTCTCCAATCCTGTGACTACCTCTAAGGTGAGCCAAGGGACTTAAGGAGAAACAAACCAATAGGGAAGGTAAAGATGCATCACACATTTAGATAAAAACCAGGTGTTATCTACCTGCTTACACAGTCTAGCACTTAAAAATTGTCAAATTTTCACTTATTAATTTTATCCTTAGGCGTTAAGGCACATGCCATTCCCATCTTAGATAAGAGACAGTTAAGGCAGCCTTATGGAACATTCAATAGGCTTGTCAGAATTCACCAGCAATAAGGAATACAAACAAGGCAACCCTACTTATCCATTATAACCCTTAGAACTCAACACTGACTACTGGGAAGGAATACCTAGATGCTAATTTAAAACCTAATTTAGTGGGGCACAGTGGTGCACACCTTTAATCTCAGCAACTGAGAAGAGGATCTCAAGTTCAAAAGCCAGCCTCAGCAACTTAGAAAAGGCCCTAAGCAACTTAGTAAGACTCTGTCTCAAAATAAAAAATATAAAGGGCTGGGGATGTGGCTCAGTGATTAAGCACCCATGGATTCAATCTCTAGTACTAAACCAAACCAACAAAAAAACCCTGGTTTTAGGACCTCATTTCCCTCAGTACCTTCTGATCCTAGGTATTTTCTTATGCTCTCTTATTATGGACTGATTATGAAGTGTCCCCACAGAAAGTGATGTAGCAATTTTTAGAGGTGAAATGATTAGATTGAGAAATATGATCTAATCAGTGGATCTGTCCATTCAAATGATTACTCCATCAAATGGATTAATCCTTCAAATGGATTAAGAGGTGGTAACTGTAGGTAGGTGGGACAGCTAGAGGAACTGGGTCACTGGGGGAGTTCCCTTGGGGATTATATATCTTGTCCCTGGCTCCTCTCTCTGCTTTCTTGGCTGCCATGAGCTGAGCAGTGTTCCTCTACCACACTCTTCTACCATAATGTTTTGACTCATCTCAGGCCTAGAGTAATGGAGTTGACTAACCATGGACTGAACAAATGAACCAAAATAAATTGTTCTTATCAGGTATTTTGGTCACAGTAATGAAAAGCTGACTAACACACCCCTTATCTTACCTTACCTCTCAGTGTTCTTCAAACCTTGTACCAGGGTAGAGGTCTATCTACTATCTGCTAAGTATAAGTGCTGACTTAGCAGCAATATAGAATGTGTCTTGAGGCCATTTCCTGATTGTGGGTTTACATTGCTCCAGTTCTGCCTTACTCTTGGGGAAAATGTACTGATGTATTAGAAAGCTCATTATGAATTACTACCTGGGATATCAGTAAATGTCAGCCAGTTTCCCCTTTACTGATTGATTCAAATTATAATCCCTTGGCTCTTGTCAAGGGTAGCTAAAGTGGTGCTTATTTTCACAAAATAACACAACTAAACACTTTTAAACATGTATTTAAACCTCATGTATTTAAACCCTGTTTTTTTTCTGTTTTCCTGTAATATAGGATGCTAATTCAGTTTTTAAGAAGTACTGTAAATAGTGGTTAAATGTACAAATTCTGAAGCAAATCCAGAGTGATAACAAAATCCTAGCTTTGTTATTTATTTGGTTTTGTGATGTTGAACAAGATTAATTTACTTCCTGTGCCTTAATTTCGCCATGTGTAGATGGAGATAATCTCTATCAAGATTATACATGAAATGAAGTATGTCTAATGCTTGGAATGGTATCTGGTACACAGTAAGTGTTCAGTTAGTAACTATCATTGTGAACTATGAGTTTAAATTGGAAAACAAAATATCTTTTTTTTGCCCTGCTTGTGGCAAAAATATTGATATAATTACTGAATGCTTTCAGTCTTTAAATGAAATAACTTGGATTTGTACGGTACACTTTGAGGCTCCCCGATGTATAAATATTAACTATTTTAGAGGCAAAAGAGCTTACTCAAAATAGATATACTGCTTTTATTTTTTTAAAAAGGACAGGAGATTATGAAAGGTAGGGTTTTGTTGTTGTTGTTTTGTTTTTTGGGTTTTTTTTTTTGTACCAGGAATTGAACCCAGGGATACGCAACCAATGAGCCACACCCACAGCCCTTTTTTATTTATTTATTTTTTTAAAACAGCATCTCACTAAGGTACTTAGGGCCTCACTAAATTGCTGAGGCTGACCTTAAATTAGTGATCTTCCTGCCTCAGCCTCCTGAATTACTGGGATTATAGGCATGGGCCACTGTGCCTGTCTAGTTACTTACTTTTGATGTCATCACCTTGGCATGGCAAACTCACATTTGGCTAGTTCTTATTTTTGTATTAGGGGGTATAAGAGAGAATGAAGTTCTCCATGAATACCAATTAGTATTAAAAACAAAAAGGTTTCTAAAAATGAAAAATGTGAATTTGTTTATATATATAAAAAATAATTCACTTGCATACCCTTTGTTTAAATTAACCATTGAAGATTACTTTTAGAATTTACTTCATTTCCTATTTGAAATCCATGTGCCATTCCAAAGAAATCATTATTAAGACATGAAATGAATGCCTAGGTGAACTGTACATGTCTATGGACACCAGTGCATTTTCTTTTGAATAATCTCTTAAATAATACTTAATTTTAGAAGAATATACACTAAATATTTTAGCTTACTTCTAAATAATGTTTAATGTTGAATTTTACCTTTATTGAAGTAACACAGTAATAATACTTATTCACAGATGGAATGATTCCTTATAGAAAAACACATAGTCACAGTATCTGAAAATACATTTTAATCCTTATTTTTCTTATATTACCCAAGGAAAACTGAATGTAAATCCACTTATTGGAAAACAACAGAAGTTTAAAAATATTTAAATTATTCATTAAAGTGGCAATGGAGAGAGTTCCTAGGCTCTTGCCCTTTTATTGTTTCCCATATCCTTATCTTTGTCTCATGCTTCTCTTGCTAAAATGCCTCTCCTTCCCATCCTGTTTCCATTCTTTATTTGCCATCCTACTCTTTCCTACTTTTAAAATAATCTTTTCAGAATTCCTTTAATTCCATTGTCCAGTAAAGATACATCTGTTACTTTATTGGTCTTAGCACTACAGTAATTACCTGGGTTTGTGTAGCCTATTGGCATCTACTCAGAAAGCATCATGTGTATACTACGGGGTGGGAGGTGGGACCATAATAAAAGAGGCAAATATATAATATAAAAATCTGGACCACTCTCGTTTGCATGGGTAACAGCATTTGCACTGAACAGTTGGCAACAAAAAATACATTATTGGAGATAAACTAATTATGGCAGCTGTGTATACCCTCTGGCACCAGGCAGATTCCTTCGGCCTTTCCATAAGTAGGAATCTAGATTTCAATTACTCCACATTTGTCTGATTCCTTACCTAAGGTAGCAGCAGGGTGGGAAAGAGGAGTTTGTTAGTGGAAAATTGTTAAAAGTGAGGAACAGAAATGATTTCCGTTTACAGAGCAGGCGAAAACAAGGCTGTAAGGAAGGTTAGGAGGTTTCTTTTAGGTGATGATCAGAGGGCGGAATTAAGGGATCACCTACCTGAGTTAAAAATGCTCCTGACACCTGCAGCAAAATTTTCCATCAACAGACGGTATCCTGGGGGAGTGAAGAAAAGGGGGAGGGGGAGCGCGGGAAAGAGCTATGTTCGCTGCGATTGGTTGCCACCCTCCCCCCTAGGGGCAGCGGCCTGCCGGACCCCGCCCCCGCACCGCGGGTGGGTGGCGGGCACCTCCCAGCTGTCACTCTGCTGTAGCAGTGGCCCTCCGCCGTCTCTTGGCAGTCACTCGGTGGCCGCCCCCACCCCCCGCCCAGCGTCAGGCATCGCCGGCTTCAGTCACAACACGGTCCCGCTACCTGGGCGCGCCCGGCCCGGCAGCTGAGGGCCGGGCGCCGGCTGGCGGCGCTGAGGGGCCGCTGGGAGGGGCTCGGCAGAGTCTGTTGGAGCCGTTCCCTCGGAGGGCCGCCGGCTAGGGCATGAGAACCGGCTCCCCTAGCCTCCGGAGCGGTGGCGGGAGCGGCGAGGCGGGGAGGCGCCGCGCAGAGGCCACCGTCCAGGGCAGCGCCAGGGGACAGCGGGGCAGGAGATGTGCCTGTCCTTAGCGGCACAAGAAGCAGCATGCACCCCGATGCCACCGACAGCAGCAGCACCGGCTTCAGCCCCGCACCGGCCGCAGGCACCGGCGGCCATCCTGCCCCGGGCTGCGCGGGCGGGCAGCAGCCGGAGTTGCTGGAGAACGCCCAGGCGGCGGCGGCGGCGGCGCCCAGGGGTCCCGGCGGCGGTTGCTGGCGGGTGCCCTTGGCCGTGGCCGCATTCGCCGCCGTGGCTCTCTCCTTCTTGGGGCCCGGCTGCTGGGAGGCGGCGGGAGGCGCGGGGCCGTGCACCGTCCTGCTCCGGCTCAGCCTGTACCTGAGTTGCGCGGCGGCCGCCTTCCTGCTGGGGACCCTCTTCGCCCTCGTTGGCTGGAGCCCTCGCGCCTCGCCGCCCGACTTCGTCGGCGCCTGGAGCCGGCTGGCCGCTGCCCCCGGCTGCCCGCTGCGGGTGAGTACCCCTCTCGGCTGCCTCACGCGCCCGCGGCCTCGGCCCGTTCGCCCGCTTCCGGTGCGAGCCTCCGGTTCTGCGAGACCCCGCGGGCCGCGGCGTGCCCTCCTCGCCAGCCCTGGGCCCCTTCTTGTAGCTGGAAACCCGAGAGGAACGGGCGAGGTATGTGGGCCCACGCGAGGCGGCTCCAGGCTCCGTGGGTTTGGAGGGGATGCAGGGCATTAGGTAGGCTCTGTAGTTACTCACCCACCATCCTCAGTCACAACCTCGGTTGCTGAACAGTCATGCCGAATCCTCGATGTTGCTGTGCAGTAGGGGAGTTGGTGTGTTCCCTAGGAACCTGTATAGCTTTCGCTGTACCCAGGCACTACATTGGCGATCCTGTTTTGGTTCTGGGAAACGGTTTTGTTGGGAGGTAGCTTTATAGTCATTTCCAGGTAAAGAAACTTTGTTAGATCACCCACCTAGTACCTCACACCAAAGCCTGTATACACTTCCTACCACCCCGTCCTGTCTTCCACCATGTTGATAACTAGGAACAGGACTGCAGAAATCACTGTAGTTTGCAAAGAAAGACAAATTATCCGCAGCGAGGTCTGGGGCATTGGGGCTGTGATTAGGAAAAATAGCAAAGAACTTATTTTAAATGAGCTTTTCTTGAGTTCCAAACCCACTATTTTCTCTCCCTCTTATCTTTTTTTTTTATAATCCCTTAAAAGTAACCTTATTCTGTTGTAGCTTGATGTTCACTGCTTGACTGAATGATACTATCATTAAACTGAAATTGCTCAAGCACTCTGGGGGGTCAGTGAAATGGCAGTAGCTAAATTTTATAAGAATGTTTATTAGAGTGACCATCATCCCCAGGGTTTGGATTTACTTATAACATGACCTGCTTACTCATATGTAAAAAAGCATCACACTGTCCTCCAAAATGACTCTTCCTAGAGTCTGTCAGTCAGAATGGTGTGCTGGAGTAATGACTGAAGGTTTGAAGACAAGGAAGGTATCAGGCATCCTTTCTCTGATGATTTGGTATAGTAAAGGGTAGGAGACTCTTGGTTATGTAAGCAAGTAGTCCCTCAAATCGGTAATGGCTATTTCTCTTAAAAATCTTCACCTAGCTGTCCATTTTTCCTTTCTCATGTAGCAAGAGTTGGTGAACAGATGTTTTCCTTTTGTTTTTTTTTTCTATAGTGATGTTACCTGTTTGTTTATAGATCTATACTCAGTTCTTGAGTAGTGTGAGAAGTTATAATTCTTTCAGTACATATTTAATGAGCATCTTGTATGAACCAGATTCTACTGTATTCTGGAAGCTGGGGTTGAACTGATACAGAAAAGTTATTCTTTCTGGAAGTTATATTCCTGTGAAGGACCAGACAATAAATACATATTTTCATGTAATGATAAATGCTTATTAAACAAAGTGTGGTTAAGAAGCCAGGCACTCACCTGTAAATCAGCAGCTCACTGAGTCAGGAAGAAGGCAAGTTCAAAGCCAGCCTCAGCAACTTGGTGAGACCCTGTCTCAAAATAAATAAAGGACTGGGGATCCAGCTCAGTGGTTGAGTGCCTCTGGGTTCAACCCCTGGTGTGTACACACATACACACACACACACTATTAAGAGATAAGTAAGATCAAGGAGTACTGGGGGGAAAGAAGTTTAAATGGTCAGATCAGGGTCAAAAGCTGAGGGTCTGGAAGCTTCATGTTATGGATTACTACTATTTCCTGCAAACTGCATTCTCCCACATTTCACAGCTCACTTATACCTCTATGTTGGTAAAATTTGATTATCATCTAGAAAGATGGTTTCATAGAAGAATTTTTTTTTAAAGAAAGAGTGAGAGAGAGAGAGAATTTTAATATTTATTTTTTAGTATTTGGCGGACACAACATCTTTGTCTGTATGTGGTGCTGAGGATTGAACCCCGGGCCATGCGCATGCCAGGCAAGCGCGCTACCACTTGAGCCACATCCCCAGCCCCAACATAGAAGAATTTTTAAAGAAAGTACTTTGCAGGTGACAGAAAATGAAGCAACAGGCATAGTCTCTCCAGTATATAATGCCAAGATTTCAGATAATAGCAGAGGGAAGTATAATCTAAGGAACGTGATTATTGTTCATTCTTTTTGAACTTTTAATTCCTATAATAGATTTAATTAAGAAAATAAGCAATTAGGGAATTACTTTCAAAGTTATATATTACTGAGAATTGAAATGTATGTTATTCCCATGAAATTGTGTTTTCTTTATGGCTCTGGGTCTAGTTACTTGAGCCTCTAGTTTGCTGTATTTGCAGTAACTTGTGTTTTTAAAAAATGTTCTCTTCTTTATGAATGGAAGGATGGGAAGCATAAGCATGTGGTGTAGTATAAGATATCCATCAGTTATGTGGGGGTAGGAGCTGGACCACACAGGTCATTTAACATATGTGGAGGGGGAGACTGTTTAGCAGTGAACCAAATGGAGCTTCTTAGAATAACAGTGACTACTACAGAAATCTGGATTCTGCATACACAAAAAAAGAATCCTTTTTTATTCTTATACATGGTGAATTTTTCCAGTCTGAGCTAGACATGCAGACACTGGGATCCATCCTTTTATCTACCCATACTCTCCCCACCTTTTTTTTCCTTCTTGGCTTCTTTCAGTAGAAGAAAAACACGTATATGGTTAAAAGCAGGTAACTCCAGAAATCTAAACTGAAAGGGCAAAAATATTTTCATGACTAGAGGTGTTTGAAAGCTTTACCATATTGTTATCAGTTGTAAATTCCAAGAAGTCAGGACCTATAATTGGCACCTTTTGTTATCCTTTGCACCTAGTAGGAGCTCAGGGCTCCTCAAATGATTGCTGATGATAATGAAAAAAAAAATGGCCTGTTTATGTTCACTAATCTAATGCTTTTCCCCTCCAGTTAAACTAGTTTCAGACATTCCCCATGAATTTGAATTTACTTAGATGGGAACTATTATTGGTTAAAGTAATAAAAATAGCTTTTATCCCAGATACAAATTGCATCCCAAATGTCCAATGGAATTTTCAGACACTTGCAAAGCTTTTGTGTAAAGTTGGAATGTTGACACTGAAGTCTTGACTATTGATATCTGGACCCAACTTTAGAAAAACTTAGACTTTGATACAGGCCTGCAGACTGGAGCTGTGATTCTGTGTTGCTAGCCATCTCCAAGTGTGACAGGTGTTAGCTCAACTTTGCTGAGTGGGCTGTCATAGTACAATGTTCCTAGTCCAAGGTTGTGTTTGGTATTCTACAAGTCAGTTAACTTGCTCGGGTCAGATTCACTAGCCACAGTTACTTGACTCTAGCTTCTGATCTCACCAAAGCAAGAACAAGAGAAATAGGACAAGTATGAATTAATGGTTTAGGAACTTGATTGTTATGAGACCAGCAGTTCAAAGTACATCTTATAATGGAAAAGAGGGAACTATTTCTTACATTTCCATGATAAGAAGGTAAGAGAGAATAACTTCTTAGACAACTTTTCTGCCACTTAGTCTTTATTCTTTTACACAGTTTAGTAGATACTTTAACAATTATTACAAATTGACAGTTTATAGTTGTGTTTATTTTTAAGGTAAAAGGTGATCTTATTTCTGAATATACTGTGAAATAATTAAATCAAGCTATCTAACATATTAATTCCTCAAACACTTAACAGTTTTAATCTAGGTACTTTCTGACTTATACCTCTTAAGTTCAAAACAAATAAGCAGTTAATTAATGAGGATTGGAGGGCTGACACAAGAATGTCCACAAAAGTTGAGTGATTAGTAGTATACAGGAAATTAAAGATCTTGGATATATGAAGAAAACATTAATGAAAGACTTCAAAGTTCAGCCAGATAGAAAAGTTCAAGAAGTTCATCAAATGTAATTAATAAACATTTACTGAATGTCTGCTACACATCTCATGTTCTGAACTTGTTAACTATTTTTTTTTCCTGTAGTTTCTGAGTGCCAGTGCCAGGCACATAGTAAACTCTCAGTAGGTAGATTTTGATGTGAACAAATTTAAGTATCCAGCTGACATTTTTAGATTTGAAATTTCAACCATCTACTTAGGGAGGGATAGAGTCTTTCTAAAGGGAACATTAAGAGCTTGAATATTTTTTTTTTATAAGTGCATGGTATGGTTTGTGGGGTTGAGGAGGATTCAGAGATGAATAAGAATACTCCTGTCCCTGCCCTCTTAGTCTGAGTAGATCAGAATGATAGAGAACCCTAGATAGGAAGGCAGATGTTTACAAAGACAGTGAAAACATTCACACAGCAATCAACTGCTCTAGTTGGCCTGGGGTAGACTTCTAGAATTCCTAAATGGGTTCTTTTACTAATACAAACGTCCTTTGAGTAAAACAAACTTAATTTAGTTACTTGAGGGGAAAAGGAAGAGAAACAGGAATTAGGAGTCTATACATAGCCTCTTTGTGGCTTTCCTTTTTTTATGCTAACATGCAAGCTAATCCTCAATAATTTGATAATGGGTAATGGCACAATATATTTACTGTCTTCAGAATGTTTGTTAGCATTTTAACTAGAGGATTTAAGTATGGTGACCAATGAGGAAAATGTTTTTTTTAGGAATATGGTGTTTAGAAAATCCCTTAAATCATAGGATTCTTCCTAATTCCTTGTGGTATAAGGGACATGGTACTTAAGACTCATACTATGCATAATTTTTAATTTGTATAGGTAGTAATATTACATGATTGATAAAATCAAAGCATTTAGAAAGGTAAAATAATGAAAAAATTTCTCTTCCCTATAGGCAGCCACTATTAATAGTTGCTATTTATTCTTCCAGCACATACAAGCAAATATAAATATATATTCAAAAAGAAGTTTTTAATACCTATAATTTTTTTTTCAGTACTTGATTGAACAAAGGGGTGCCATACCATTAAGCTACATCTCCCAGCCAGTTTTTTGTTGTTGTTTTGAAACACAGTCTCCCTAAATTGCTGAGGTTG